TTTATAATAGCTGGGACATGATCTATTGTTTTCGGGAAACTTCCAAGCTGTGTTCGAATACCAGAGGGTAGCCAACAAGAATGGCTGGTTAGTGGCTTCAAGGTTCCAATTATTTCAACTCGCCGGAAGAATCTTTGTCGGTTGAAGATAAAACATGTTTGAAACCAGCAACTAGCCATCAACTAGAAAACAACAAATAAGAAACACCACACACACAACTTGACTATACTTGACTTAGCCACGAAGAAAACACATTTAAGAACACACTATGATTTGAATTGATTTGATATGTTTTGATGTAATTAAGTTGGAACCCCAAACATGGCCCAAGTATGGCGACTTCACCACGACCCGCCGTTTACTGCAGATCATGTAGACCGGTAGACCTTCAATTAGAATTTTGAAGTGTTCAATTCACTTTAACTCTGCGCGGTATACTGGGTGGTTCATCCCACTTAGGATCCGTGGGAATAGTTTGGGTCACCCCAGCAAATTAAGTGGGCACTGCCCCTACTTATCCCACTGAACGAACCGAAATAACTATATAACTCACGGATCAAGTACCCCTCGCCATCATTTCCCTTGGTTGGCAAAAAAATGGTTTTTACCGATGTTGACTCAACCACTATTCAATCATCATCGCAAACTCAAGTTTTGCTGCTGCAATTTCCTCTACATTCGTGGAAGGATCTTAATTACAGCGATATCAGCGATATCAGTAATTGTATGATATTGTATGTAATTCATTGTAATGTCATTGTTTTTTCTGGGAGCAGACATCCCCAACCAAAAAATGCTTAAATACCCCAAGTTCGCCGCCAACATCATCCTTCCAAGCAGCCAGTTTCATGGCCGGCATGCCCTTCCCGGGCCGCAAGCCGCGAAAGCGGTTCAGCGACACCTGGTCTGCTAGCCAACTCAGTGAATATCCTGCTTGTGTCGAAAGATTTATTCATGTTTTAGACGTGGAAAACATGGTGAGTTTACCTGGCAAGGCATAAGACGCCTCTGAAGCTCCCCATCTTTGGGCTGAAGTCTGAGGATAAAAACATGGTAAAAACATGTAAAAACATGGTAAAACCACAACATCCCAATGGTTTTTCGATTAGTTTGTTCTATGAAAGGAACATTTTACGGGTGAAATAACACCTTGGTTGGATCCATGCTCATGCTCCTTGGATCTTTTTCGCACACATATATAATAGCAATACATAATTTGAGCATATTTGAGCAAATAAACGACTTACTTGTAGTAATAATCCATTCCTTAAGTAAGTGATAATGCTACAAATAGGGATTTGTACAATAGTGATAAACACTTACTTACTTGTAACAATCATCATTATTACTTGGTGCATTTGTACTTATTATTTTAGCACCAGTAATAATGATGATTGACCAGCCAAAAAAATAAGGCAGTCACCAAAGAGCCGCACCTTCTTGGCGAAACCATTCTTGGAGACCAGCACCACTAAGTCATCCTGGTCCCTGCCGGTCAAAATGGATGCTGGTCCCTGTACAAGGTTACTAATGGGTTAATTGGAAAATATTGGAAATGATGGTTAACCATGGTTAACCAGCTTCCCAATGGCTTCATATGGGGTATAGTCGGTATAGTAATGGTTCATAATGGGTTGATGAGGCCTCTATTAATCAAGCACCATTGCATCCCATTCTGTGGGAAGTAGTGGCATAGATACGATATGGCCGTGCCTGGCAATTTCAATAGGCCTAAATGATGATAAACCATCGAAGTTGGGAGTGGTACCGTAGGCTCAGACAAAACCATATGGATGGGATTCAATAGGTTGGTCAATCCACTTTATATCATGCAATGTATGTATATGTAATACATATGTGCATGTGTATGTATATATAAGTACTATAAGACCATAAAATACTGTAAGTAATACATATAAATCCATATATAATACATACTGTATACTTATGGATGCTTGTATGTATATATATATATATGTACTTCATCCATATATTGCTATACATTATAATCAATATCACCTTGCCCCGCCTCAGACTTCCTTGTGGCACCGTCACCAGCGCTGCCACCCGCTGGTCTTCCAGCTCGGGAAGGAAGGCCTGGGAAATCTGGGGAAAATGGTGATGAACGAACCATAAGGTCTAGGGAAAATCAAGGGAAATCTAGGGATTTTGTATATCAAATAATTCGGGAACATCGATTTCACCTTTCAAAGATCTAGATTTATGTTATTAAGGTTATTATTTCAACATATTCTTGGGCTTCAATATGGTGATACCGGAAATCACCACCAGATTCGCCGGCGGCCTGGAGTCAACCATCAACTTCACAGTTGGAAGAATTACTAATAGTCTACCAATTTATCAATCATCGCAATACAGGTATAAATACATATGAGAACCAGTAGTAATCCACTATTTCTATGGTCATTTTCAATAGCTATGTTTAATCCCCATCAAATTGCTGGGGGTTACCATCTGCTAGTTGCACTTACTGGAAAATCCATCATCAAACTCCATGGATCTACAGTACAGCAATGGCTTCAGCAAATCACCAGCTAAATCCCATGACAAAACAACATCCCAACCATGAAATCCCTATAAAACTGTTGCTTCATCACCATGTTCATCCATGTTCTCTTTTGCAATTCATGGACATTGATGGTTTATCACATCCATGTTCCCTATTCAAATAGCCTACCCTCCAGTAAACTAAGATTGCTTTGGAATATGACCCATGTGTAGATCATTTCTTCAAATGGTGGTGTTCCATCGCTATGTTTCCAGTTTAATGGAGGCTAAATTTCATGGTACCATGGCTACCCAACATCTTCACAGCCCGCCTTCAGTTCGGTTCCCTTGCAGAAGGACCTTTTGGCCAATGGCACATCCAGGGCCTCCAGTTCGACGACCCCTGGTGATGGGGAAATGTCCAGAAACATCCCCAGTCATCACCACAAAACCTCATCAAAATCCATCAGAATTGGGATTTAAGCATCAGAAGTCTGAAAATATGTAAGGTTTGAATCATCAACAACTGCAGTTTAATATTTATATAATGTCCAAAAAAATGGAACTTATCCCATGTAACCCTTTGAGCACCGGGTATGCAGCATGATGTGCACTGACGGAGCTCAATGGTGTATTCCGGCGGTCCATCAGCTCTCTGTGGCGGAAGCACAGCTTTCCCAATACTATTTCTATGATGTTTGCAGCTGAATAGATCCTTAGATCCTGTGGGGATTTATGTCTATATATATATGTATTATATGTATATATACACAGCAGTAATGTGTATACATATATATATATACACATCAGTAGTAAATATATATATATATAATTATATATACAATATTTGGATATATACATGGCTTTAGGGTATTTGGTGTTAACATATGTTGACCCACCGCCACGGTGCACCAGCAGGTCGATCATCTCCAAACTGGCATGGTAAGTCTTCTTATGTTGGTGGTTTCAACCCCTCTGAAAAATATGACAGTCAGTTGGGATGATATATAAGAACACACACATATATATATAATATAATAAAAAAATATAATATAATATTATATATATATATTATATAATAGTATAATATAATATAATATAAAAAATATAATATAATATAATATAATATATAATATAATATATTATAATATAATATAATATCTAATATATAATATAATATATAATATATAATATATAATATATAATTTATAATATATAATATATAATATAATATAAAAAATATAATATAATATATAATATATAATATATAATATATAATATAATATAATATATCTAATATATAATACATAATGTATAATATATAATATAAAATATATAATATATAATATAATATAATATAACATAATATAATATAATATAATATAACATAATATAATATAATATAATATAACATAAAATAATATAATGTAATATAATATATATATATATAGATAGATAGATATATATATATATATATATATAGATATATTTATTTGCAAAATATAATATATACATATATATATATGTATAATATAATATATATATAATATAATATATATATATATTTATAATGTATATATATATTATGTATTATATATATATATATTATAATTATATAGTATTGAGATACAGTTTTGTTAAGGCACTTCCCGCAGAGCGCCATCGCCAAGCCGAGATGGTGCCTGTAGGATATAGGCAAAGCCATTCTCCGAGAAGACCAAGAGGGCATCGAAATCATGGCCTTTTCCGGAGAACTTCATCGATGGATTCTGGTTGGATTCTGGTATATCTGGAAGATCTAAATGGAATAAGTATATGGGACTATAAGTATAATATATTGGGATAATAATTGGTATTATATCTGAAATCTCCCTTATATCTGGAAGCACCCTCTGGTAATGACTAACATAGCCATGGAAGCCATGGCCCAAAGAAATAGATGATTTTCCCAGCTATAAACCTCCATTTATTGTTGGGATTTTCCATGGCTATGTTAAATAACCAGATGGTATATCAATCATATATGGGATACCCTCTGGTAAACATACAAAAGACTATGGAAAGATCCACCATTTTGAATGGGAAAATCCACTATAAATGGATAAAATATGGGATAATATATGGGATAATATATGGGATAATATATAGGATAATATATGGGATAATATATGGGATAATATATGGCATGGGAACTCATATTTAAAAATATTTTGGAATATATCAATCATCATCATTCCAATTCTGAATGAGTTTTGTCTAGTTCCAAAGGAGATGTGGTTCATAATATATGAAATAGTGGTGGCAAATAATTGGGTAATCATGAATCATGGGATATAATCTTATGATAAATCTTATAATCATTGGAGATATCACTTATGGTAATCATAGTGGCAAATATATAATTGGTATATGATAAATATGGGGTTATATCTTATACCCTGTGGTCATTTGTTAGAGTTTGGTATGGAAGCGGTCCATTTAGTTTGATGATTTACCTGAAAATCACGTGATTTTCAATGGCTATGTCAATTTATATACCAGCGGGGCAGAATCTATAATTATGATGATATTTTGCTGATAAGGAGAAGTCAATAAATAGTCCTGAGTCAGGTTTGCTCTGGATGGATCCTAATAATACTGATATATTCGGATGAAATATCACTCTCATCAGGAAATTATTGCTGGTTATACCCCAATATGTACTGTATTCATATATATATAAATATATATTAGAGATGACATAATATGCAAATCCGGCTGAATTAAATGTAATGCAGCAACCTGAGAAGTTCGGCCGGGGATGATTCATCATGATTTCCAAACCTAGCCATGTGAGGTCGCAATAGAATTTACCCAGGATATCATCAGAATCAGAATTCAACCAGCACTCAAAGGGCTGGCTGAAGGAAACTTCACAGTTGAAACCATGTTTGTTTCAAGAAAAAACTGGTCTCCTGCATATTTCCCACCATTTCGTTCGTGCTATATACAGTAAATCTTTTGGGAAGATGGGAGCTACAAGGATTGATAAGGACTGATACTCTAAATTTAAATTTTGATTGATTGTTTGCAACCATGACAGGAACCTACCCACAAAAAACTGGGATCCACCGACCAAAAACGTTGATATCAACCACAAAAACGGCTACGAAAGCACAGGAATGGGCTATATCATCACCCACAGTGGTGTGATTCATAGACTGCCTAACTTTCACCTCAACGCATACCTGGGATGTAAACCATTGTAAACCAACCTGGCAATGGAAACAGTCTCCAATGTTTGTAGATAACCTATTTGTCACATCCGGATTTCTCATTGCAAGGTGTCATTGCCAAAGGAACAAACTCCAGTTTTTCTTTGGTGTAAAAAGGCAAAACCACCATTTTTGTTGGCGAAATCAATATCAATGTTGGCTAAATGGCATAAACATGCACACTTCCAATCCATGGGGCTACCCTCAGTTCTCATCCATTTTATTTTGGAATTTTCCATGAAATAAACCATCCAGCTGTTGGGGGTTTCCCTGGTCCCTGGGGCCCCCGCAGCAGAATACGCCGGCGAGCGCCTGACGCCCCCAGGCGAAGATGCTACTGTAGGGGGGGTTGCTACAAGAAGGATTACTATGTTGTAGTTGTAATCATCCTAAAAGAAAGATAGTGATATATATATAATTATATATATAATTATATATATAATTATATATATATAATTATATAATTGTATATATATATAACATCTATAGATAATTATATATATTATAGATTTTGTATGATATTGTGATACATGTATAGTCATCACTATTTGACTGTGATACCGCAAGTTCTATCTTCATTTTTCATCACCGTGCCATCGCCTCTGGACTCTCCTCCTCGACATCGTCCTAGCGACAAAGTTAGCTGCTACCGGATCTTCTGAGATTTATTGAACGTTTATAACTCAGAGACTCAGATGTTATATGATTATGATTATGAGTCAATTATGAGGTTTATCTGATTGATGATTTGTGAGATTATTATGTGATTGATGATTTGAGACTATCTGAGGTTAATTCTCAAAAGTTTACTATTCTTTATTTGAGATGGGAGAAAACAAGACAAAATCTATGAAAACTCTGATGTGAACAAGGCACCAGGGTTTGACCGACATACAAACCAATGTTGGCTCTATCCCCAACTGTTGTTGGATACCCTCTGCTGTTGGTTATATCCTGCACATTCCTGCACGAATGCTGGTTACAATTCTCATGTCTCCTGATTGTCATGTTAATCTTTTTTCTGTTGGTCATGTGCGACAGTTGTAGACATACCCACTTATAGTAGACCGGAGTAACGAAACGTTGCATAAGAGGCTGGTCACCCACAGCCTCTGATGTAATTGTGGCTCAAGAAATCTCAAACAAATCTCAAAATTAGAAAGTGCGCCAAAGCCCAGTTTTAATTCCCGATTAGAATTATTGGTTAAAGCTAAACCACAAATATATATATATATATGGTACCCCCCCCCCAAGACCTACCAATTTCACAAAAGTACTGGTATTTACAGTAAAATTTGCTATTTTTGGTATGTAATTTTGGATTCCGGGATTTGGGGGATGTTATATAGTGTATATATACATATATATATATATATATACATAGAGGATTCAAGCCTTGAATCCAACCCTTGTGGGAATCTTGGATCTTGGATCTTGAATCTTGCAAAGAATGCATTCAGAATGCATTCTTTCGGCAGGGTTCAAGATTCAAGATTCAAGATTTCTGAGGACTCTTTGGAGCAAATCTTAAATCCACTCCCTGGATTCAAGATTCAAGATTCAAGATTTCTGGGGACTCTTTGGGGCAAATCTTGAATCCGGATTCAAGATTCAAGATTCAAGATTTCTGGGGACTCTTTGGGGCAAATCTTGAATCCGGATTCAAGATTCAAGATTCAAGATTCAAGATTTCTGGGGACTCTTTGGGGCAAATCTTGAATCCAGGATTCAAGATTCAAGATTTCTGGGGACTCTTTGGGGCAAATCTTGAATCCGGATTCAAGATTCAAGATTCAAGATTCCTGAGGACTCTTTCCAGCAAATCTTGAATCCAGGATTCAAGATTCAAGATTTCTGGGGACTCTTTGGAGCAAATCTTGAATCCAGGATTCAAGATTCAAGATTTCTGGGGACTCTTTGGGGCAAATCTTGAATCTTGAATCTTGAATCCTGGATTCAAGATTTGCTGGAAAGAGTCCTCAGGAATCTTGAATCTTGAATCTTGAATCCTGGATTCAAGATTTGCCCCAAAGAGTCCCCAGAAATCTTGAATCTTGAATCCTGGATTCAAGATTTGCTGGAAAGAGTCCTCAGGAATCTTGAATCTTGAATCTTGAATCCTGGATTCAAGATTTGCCCCAAAGAGTCCCCAGAAATCTTGAATCTTGAATCTTGAATCCTGGATTCAAGATTTGCTGGAAAGAGTCCTCAGGAATCTTGAATCTCGAATCCAGGGGGTGGATTCAAGATTTGCTCCAAAGAGTCCCTAGAAATCTTGAATCTTGAATCTTGAATCCTGCCGAAAGAATGCATTCTGAATGCATTCTTTGCAAGATTCAAAATCCAAGATCCAAGTTTCCCACAAGACTTTTGATCAAAATCTTAGATTTCTAAAGAAGTTTCATAGGGACTAGTAAGAGTATTCTGGCAAATTCCAAACCCAAGATTTGCACAAGACTTCTCCGCAATTCTTAGATCTTGGATCTTAGATATTGGGAAGAATGCATTCTGGATGCATTCCTTTAGGCTGGAAAAGACATAAATACAATTCCTGCCATCCATTGTCACTGCTCCATTCTTGCAATCCATTGTCACTGCCCCAGTGCCATTCTTGTTCTCAGCTTTCATCGCTTCCCCTCTTATTTGCCATGGTGTTCTTCAACGTGACCGGCACGGTGAATATGTCGCAAGGCAAGGCCATCATGACATTGACACCAGAGCCTGACATCAAAGTGACCATGACTCGACCGTCAACATCTCAGCTCCTGGAAAAAATCGGAGCAGGAACAGTCAAGGTTCATGACAGCCGCCATCCAGTTGCAAAGAGAGACCTGACGACTATGATGGGCACGATTCAAAGGCAACTGCGCCTGCGTCCGGGAGGTGATGGTGAATGGAGTGCAGATGCCCAGCAGCGCTAGAAAACTTACTGGCCAATCCGAAAAGGAGCACTGCAACTGTGCAATTGGCCTTGGAAGATGTGAAGCCATCATCCTCCAGTTCCACTTTGGAAGAGAAGAAGCCAGCATCCTCGTCTTCCACATCCGATTCCGATTCGGATTCATCATCTTCCGAAGGTCCACAACATCAGGCAGATGCTGAACTCGAGAAGAAAAGCAAGGAAGTGATCAAATGGAAAGAGGAGTTTGAGGGGATTTTCTCGGCATTGCATCACCCCTCTTGCGAGCTTGCGAAGGCAACCGCTCAGATTGAGGAGCAGAATGAGATCATCGCAGGGCTGTCTCAGGAAAATGCCGCTTTGCGGCGCCGGCTACAGCCGGAAAACGCCGCGGATATCCCTATGGATATGGATGAATCTTTGGCTGCTGAAGCTTCGTCTCCTGACTCTTCTGATCATGAAATGGCATCCGATTGATGTCGCTGAGACAAGGGCATGCGGGTTGAAAAAGATGTATCTCTCATTGTGTCCGCTTGATGCACACTGAAAAGAAAAGCAGTCTGGCGCTAGAGCCTTGAGCCTTAGCATTATATGTATACATACTTAGAGATATGTCCTTGGCATGCACGTGTGGCAGCGAAAGTACTTGGGAAGGTCTGATTGTTTTGAACATGCTGGCAGTTGACATTCAACATTCAATTCATGTGTGGATTCTTGTCACTCTCGTATTTCTTCTCTGCTGTGTCACATGAGCCCAAACCTGTCCGCCCCAGTCTTGTCTTGTGCACCGCGCCGTGCTCCCCTTTGATTGCAATGGCTGGAACATTGATGGATAAGGCAATCCAAGCATTGGAAAGAAACCGTTATATCTACGACCCTTGGAAGAAGCCAAATGTGGGATTGTCGAAGTGGAAGAGCCCATCACATGCATTGGATTCACCACTGATGCGTGCAGACCTTTGCAAAAGGGTGTGAAATCCATTACAGTTCTCTTTGATTTCCACAATGACATACCCTCATGTGGCGAACCAGTCGACATTGGCCAGATCGCTATGCAATATCGATGGGATGATTTACCTGAACCCATCCGTTTCAAAGGCACTCCTCCGAGTACAACCAAAATGGACTTCGTGCATGTGACCATGGCGATTGGAAACGTAGATGTTCTCAAAGTGCTCTATCTGCCACGTCCGATGTCCTTTCAAGCTGCCGAAGCTTTGTGCAGTGAGAAAGCTTATATTCCAGTCTTTAGATCGGGGCCCTGGAACATCAAAAAGGGAGTGCAGTGGCTTCTCAATCATTTGGGAGGGTATCAACTTAGATGGTTTGCCCTTGAAGAGAAGACCCAGGCGGAGCATTCCTCAAAACCTACCTGGTCACCATCAAGGTCTGAGCTGGAAGACGGCATCTACCATATCAATGCATTTGCCCCAGAATGTGACGCTCTCAACGAGCAAACACTGTGGATCCTGCTCAACATCAAGCCTGACTCAAGCACACCTATTGCAGGATGGCCGGAGGCGAAGGTACGGCAAATGTGCCAAAACAAAAGCAAGGGGCTTGGAGGTGCTGTGAGTATGACCGAGTTTCCCCTCACAACCTATAGCCTGAAGCCATTCTTGCACACTATCTTGCTACCATACTTGTATCCACTGCTCATCAACTTTGGCCTCTTGCTGCTGGGTTGTCCTGGTGTGGGGAAAACGCCCTTTGTGATCACTCTGGCAATGGCGCTTGGTCGTTACCACGTTCGTCGATCTGGATGTGAAGACCTGAAGGCTGGTTGGCGCCGAGCCAAATCCCTGGACAACTTCAGGCACAAAGCCCCTCAGGTTCAAGAGGCTCTCTTTCTAGACGACCCCGATCGAAGCAAGGTGTGCATAGCCGACCTGAAGAGTTTCCTTACATGTGATGAGGATGGAACGGTTGAGTCCAGGTACAACGATACCAAGATGTTACGGAATCAAATGAGGGCCTATGCGTCCAATGACTTGGCAGAAGAAAGATTTCATTGCAATGCAGGTGACACAGTGATTTCTGAAGCCAACTTCTTTAGCTTGCTTGATGAATTCTTCCGCGGTGACAGAGAGAAAGATGTCTTGGCAGTACTGAAACGCTCCATTGTCTTCATGTTCGGCAACCACGCTCTCTACCTTCGTTTGCCAAGTGCACATAGAGATGCCATTGTGCATCGGATTTGCCTGGAGGACGTGCATCTTGACTTGCTAGGTGAGCGGGACAAACCTTTGTATGGAAAGTACAAGGGAGGTACGATGGAGACTGGATCAAACTTTGATGCAGAGATTCTCCAGGAACAGGAAGTCTTGGAGGAAGGATTTCAGAAGATTGCAGGATATGAAAACCTGCAGGATTATGTTGCTTATGTGAACCACAAGCTTCAGGACAAACTTCTTTTCCGCAGTGCCCATGTTGTGCCACCATCATCCTGCCCTTCTACTCCAGAAGCCAATATGGATGTGGTCTGCCCTGTGCCTCCCATTGGCACTCAACCCTCGGGGCGTCGCCGTGGCAATTTCGTCTATCCCGATCGTCGACTACGGGCCAAGACTTCTCCACCACCATCGCAGCACATTGAGGAGTTGGCTGAGGATGCAGAAGCTGCATACCAAGATCCCATGGAAGCGGAGCCTGAGGAACCGAAGAGTATGGATTTAGAGGCTGATGAAGAGGCAGCCCACTACATGGGACTGAATGGCATGTAGACAAGTAGCCTATAATTCGAATGCAGTAGATTCGTACAATAGCAAGATAGACTTGCGAAGTCGTGTCCGAGGGGAGAAGAAAAAAAGGAACATAGCCATCGCACGAAAAGGTTATGTTGTCGGTGTTGTGCAATCAAGGTCCGCTGTCTCCATCGAAGCACAAGTAATTGCAAGCGAAGCGAGCATCCATTCATGCATATTGCACTGCAGCATACAGCTCAACTCTTGTGTTCCATATAGCCATCACTCAAGGCCATTGCGCTATGCGTTCCAAATTCAATCCATTCCCGGCACCAAAGAAGGGCAAATCTCGTATGGTCTTGAAACGCCCAGCTTCTCAGAAGACGAAGGCAAAGTCTTGGCAGAATGTACCGTATATAAGGGGTGCTGCGGATGTTGGTCCGCGGGGTCTTCGCATGGACCAGACAAAGTGGAAGAGGTCCTTGCCAGACATCCTCCATGCGACCGACAAGGGGATCGTGCAGATGTTGATGCAGGATGGCTTGTTGCCTGATTGGCGTGGCAAAACTTGTCCTCGGTGTGAGAAGGGGAAGCTACGCGGTTGGGTGCAGAAGCCTGGTGACTCATCCCCTAAGCTTCGCTGCAATTCCAGGGGGTGCCAGGTCTACTTCAATCCGCATCACTTGCACCCTCTGTTTACAGAAGGTTATGGTGTGGCAGGTAGCCCCTTGCAGACTCAGGCTGCCCTATTACTTCTCAAAATCAACAACATTCCAAACTCCACCATCCACAGGCTCATGCATGTGAATCACAAGGCCATCGAGGACTTGGACAAGCGATTGGCTTTACTACGCAAGGAGTATGTGGAGGAGAAGGAGAAAGAGATTGTCTTCGGCAACGGAGCAGCGTGGCAGGATGTCGACGCAGACGAAACTACATTCGACAAGAAGACTATCACTGATGTGTCAGAGCTGGGCAACACCAAGAAGCCAATTGAGTGGGAACAATGGTGTGGTATTGTTCAGCGAGGGAAGCCGGAGTCGTTGGTCTTGCATCGTCTGAAGCCTGTTCGTACAGATGCACGTGCACCGGGACCCGGTGCAGTACGCAAAGTCGAGTGGCGTCCCCTTCCTGACCATTGGCTAAAGAACAGAAAGGTTGTGTTGCACACGGATTCTGCCAAGAGTTATAGGGTCCGTGTTGCAGGGGTGTTGCACGATCGAGTAGTCCATTGCAAAAAACGCGTGAAAGCACGCGGCAAATGGAAATGGCAGGCGCCACGATATGTCAAAGTAGTGGAACACAAGCTTCCAGGCACAAATAAAAAGATCCGTGTGAAAGCTGGCACCCAAGTGATTGACCGCTGCTGGCGTTTCTTAAAGGAGCGTCTCAGCCTTAATCAAAATACAAAAGCTGGGTCGAGCCTGCTGAGATCCAAACTCCGATCTGCTCAGTATCAGTATTGGTACAAAAATGCAGACATGTGGGTGGCGACCGGATCTCCGTGCCAATGGGCCGCAAAGCGCCTTATGGGCAAGAAGTGAGCCGTAGAGCTTTGGGGAAAAATGCATTGCAATATATTGCTTCGGGTCTTCCGTGTTCACAATCGTGCCGAAAGCTTCTTTTTGATCCAATTTCTGCCAGGTCTTCTTCATGGAATATGTCTCGATTGGTGTCTCGTTGTTCCTCGGTCCAATTGAGTTATGCGCTATGATAATGCTACACATGGGCTCATGCATCCAAAGCAATACATTCTCTGTCCTTTCCCACCCACCCAGGTGCTCTCAGTGTTCATGCACCTACGTGGTCAGTTTCTTCACATGTGCTATGCTACAGCTACATATGTGGGCAAGATGTGTCCAGGTGCATGCGTACAAGCTACTTTCCTGATGCAGTGTTACAATAGGTGAGAAGATAAAGAGAAAGACAAGGCAGTCAAGGACATATCTGGTACACAAAATGTCTCGTGTCTTGTTTGTCCTTTCCCACCCACCCAGGTGCTCTCAGTGTTCATGCACCTACGTGGTCAGTTTCTTCACATGTGCTATGCTACAGCTACATATGTGGGCGAGATGTGTCCAGGTGCATGCGCATAAGCTACTTTCCTGATGCAGTGTTGCGATAGGTGAGAAGATGAGAAGAAAGACAAGGCAGCCAAGGACATATCTGGTACACAAAATGTCTAGTGTATTGCTTGTCCTTTCCCACCCACCCAGGTGCTCTCAGTGTTCATGCACCTACGTGGTCAGTTTCTTCACATGTGCTATGCTACAGCTACATATGTGGGCGAGATGTGTCCAGGTGCATGCGCACAAGCTACTTTCCTGATGCAGTGTTGCAATAGGTGAGAAGATGAGAAGAAAGACAAGGCAGCCAAGGACATACCTAATACAAAAAATGTAGGTCTTGGGGGGGGGTAGCATATATATATATATATACAGTCTATATATATATATATATGTGCCCAGTTAGTTAATTGGCAATAACTCCTACTATTGAAATTATGGTTGCTTAAACATCCCCTTCATCACGTTCAATCAACATACTTTTCAGTGCGCTCCCCCTGGTCCGAAGTTCGACCTCGCCTTCTCTTCGCCCTCTTCGACCTCGACATCCTTTCCTTCCTTGCCTTTTTTGGCCTGGCAGTCTGGAGCTTAGGATTTCAATGGGATTTTAGCATCCTTTATAGTGGCTCAGATGGGGATGATATGATTGACACTGCCATTGACAATTAACAGTTTGACCCTGAGAATCACTACTTTTTTGGAGAAAAGACCCGGGTCCTCCCGCGAACTCATGGCAGGATCTACATATTTATTTGGGGAATTTACTATTTGTTTGCTTTCAACATGTTTTTTCACCGTATTAAACCATCCATTGTTGGGTCCGATAATAAGGACCTATATGTTTGGATGCACTAACCAGAACAGCGTACAGAATCGTCGTCGTTTGCATCACTTAAATCAACATGTTTGATAGTTCAACCACCTTTCCTGATGGTCAAACCACCATATGTTTGATGGTTAAACAGTTAAACCACCATTTTTGTTGGTGGAGAGGATGGGTATTCCCCTATTTTTTTTTACCTCAAACCCCAACAAAAGCTCACCTTCACCAAAGCTTGCCGCGAGCTGAAGCCGCCACGTCGCCGTGCCTGGGAGAGGTTTAGGTCTTGACCAACTAAAATTGGGGATTCTATGCTGATTTAATGGGGTTTCATTGGATTTAATGGAGATTAATGAGATTAATAGTGATTTAATAGAGTTTAATGGAATTTAATGGGGATTCATAGTGATTTAATGGGCGTTATAATCCTATAAAATAGTGATTTTGTGGTAATTCATGGGATTATTTCATGGGTTTTAATGGGGATTAATGGGGTTTAACCAACCAGAGTGGAGATATCATGGGGATATTTCTATGGGATATATACAGAAACGTCAACTATACTCAACAAACAACCGGTGATTTTGTGATTAATTGGATTATCATAGGAATGTAATTGTTTTTCATGATGGTGCCCTGTTTAACCATCAATTTGATAGAAGTTTCATGGGATTCGTTCATGGGATTTTAATTCTAATGTTGATGAGCTACTGACCAAAAAGTGCTGATTTATATGGGGAATTGGTGGTGATTGAGTGGTGACTAATGGCACTATAATGGGAATATATACAGTATAATTATATATATAATGGTAATCAAATGGTGGTTGTTTATATTACCATAGGAATTATAATCGGAATATATACATTATATATATATATCAAATGTAATATATCATTCAAACAGTGATGATACCCTCTGGTAATGAAATGATGGTTGTTTAACCATCAATTCGATAGGATTCTAATGGGATTTCTTCACGTTGATTAGTTGCTTACCCTCTGGTAATCAACCATGGTTTGCTGCGAAATCCGATGAAATCCCCCATGAATTCATCATTTTCCCATTGACCGAAGTTCATTTCCCTGACTACCCTCTGGTAATTGAACATAGCCTCATAGCTGTTACACATCACGATGCAAACTCAGCAAATCATCGAAGCATCGGAACTCCCAGTTCTGCTGAAATCCCATGATGTGCCACGAAAAGTCCAAGCATGGGAGTAATGTGGAGCCATCCGAGAATGGGAATCTAAACATCATAGGTACCCGATGGTACCTAGGGTAAACGAACATAGATGTGTAATGTGTTGCCCCTTTTTTTTCGATGGTTTACCTATAGAAAATGGTGATGTGACATTTACAGGAGGGTAGATGTAGGAATCCCTATTTTCAAATGGTTGATGACCATCCCCCAATTGATGGATTAATCCAACCGTTCCATCTCCATTATGCTTGGTAAAATCCCATGAATTCTATTGTATATCATAGCATATCATAGAATTCTGGATTATAGTTAACCCGACCAATGTCCTTTTATGATACAAAAATAATATGTTCACAAGGGTGAAATCCCATTGAGTCCCATGAAATCCCATCATTGAATCCCATGAAGAGTCCCATGAAAAATCCTCAAGCAACATGTCCATTAAGTGGGTCCCTGTTAATGAAATCCCGAAATTCCTATGGTCTTTTTAATGATACCCTCTGGTAAACTAACATAACTATGGAAAAATCACCATTTTCAATGGGAAAATCCACTATAAATGGCCATTTTCAATAGCTATGTTAAATTACCAGAGGGTATTCCCATTAGACATCCGTTGTTTTTCCATCCTTCAAGCCCCAAGCGAAAGAACGGCTGCGCCGGCCACACCGGCGACGCCGTGAGCGACCTGCCTTCCACTCGCTGGTGCGCACACGTTTCGCGGTGAAGTCTTTGGCCAAGACCAGGACACACTGCCTGCTGTGGGCTGACCAAAAGGATGAACACATAAAAATCCATCTACAGATCTATATATCTACCTATCTATCCATTATGCACTACGATATGATATGATATGACATGATATGACATGATATCGTCGTATGTGTATATATATATTATACATATAGAATAGAATTATGTACAGATATATGAACACATAGACATATGTATACTCAAGTGATCTCAAGTGAATAGATATGTTGTATTGCATGGGGAAGGGAAACACATTGGGGAATGTCTGGAAATCTATGTATGTAATGCTGGGGATGAATGGTCCTTTATGGGAATCAAATGGCAAAATGGATGATGCTGAAACATCAATACACTGATTATATATATATGCTATGTATATGTATATGCATGTATTTATAATGTTCACGATAATGTATGTTGTGCAGTTCTACATGTACTGTAACATATATGGAGTGAACTACTCCATGGGACCACATGGCATCCGCTTAATTATAGCTAATGCCTAATAAAATGGAGTCGGATTGGTTATGTCTCATGCAACCCGCAACTTGTTTCTAATCTACAACAATGCGCTATCAAAACCATATCTGGTTGGTGGTTTCAACCCCTCTGAAAAATATGAGTTCGTCAGTTGGGATGATTATTTCCAAATATTTCCAATATATGGAAAATTAAAATTCCATGGTTCCAGTCACCACCAACCAGATATGCTCTGAATGGAAAACCTGTTACAGCCAGCCCCATCGCAGCTGGAGAACCCTTCAATCGCCTCCGCCTTCGATGCGTGATTCTCTGGGTGGTGCAATTTCACCATCTTGAAAAATGATGCAGTTCGTCAATGGGGTTGGGATGACAACTACCATCTGGTTATGACATAGCCATGGAAAATCCCTCATAAATGGAGGTTTGTAGCTGGGAAAGTCATCTATAAATGGGCCATGGCTTCCATGGCTATGTTAAATTACCAGAGGGTATATGAAATGGAAAATAAAACATGTTTGAAACCACCAACCAGATCTTGATTTTCTTATTTCTGGTTCATCGATGCTTGCCAATCTGAAACTGTGGGTAAATTCCCACCCCCTCCTCCGCTTCAACTCCCATCTATCGACCAACACTTGCAATAAAGTAATTCGGAAAGTTCTGGTTACCAACCAATCAGTGTGAAAACGACGCCAATTAAAATTAATTGACAGTCAATGAATAAATTAATCCCATACCTGAAACATACCACCATTTTAACGATGGTTCTTGGTTAAATCCACAGTTTTGCTTGGTGAAATCCCCATGTTAAACGTTGGTTAAGTCCTCACTTTCGGAATTTTCATCCAACTTTTGGGGTTAAGTCCTCACCACTGGTTGGTGGTTGAGCTATATACCTCTGAAAAATGATGGACTTCGTCAGTTGGGGTGATGACATTCCCTATATATATATACACATATATATATGGAAAGTCATAAAACATGGATTCCAAACCACCAACCAGAAAAATAATCCAAATGTTCCAAACCACCAACTAATATCACCATGTTGATTGATTCAATCCCAGCTTTTCAATCGCGGGGAGGCTTGAAAACAACCCAGGCATCCGCACTTGTTCACCAGCAAGGAATCTTCGCTATGCTTCGCGGCCAGCTTGGCAGCCGCCTAAACAAGAAACGGCTGCCGGCTCGTGGGGCAGTGATGTTTTGCTTCATAAAACATGTGGCGAATCAAAACCCGGAGACCCGAGGTACCCTCACATATCTGATGAATGGATGTTTATACCCCAAAGTATATGGTGATTTCGTAACTTGACTCATTAATTCTCATGTAAATCCCCTAAACCGATATGAAATGGGGAATTAATGAATGCGGTATTCCCATGTATTCACTGTGTTGATCTGTGTTGTTTTTAATGATGAAATTGATGAACAGCATGATTCATAATGGTGAGAATACATGATAATAAACAAACATGTAAGACATATTTTAAAAGATACAAAATGGTACCTCACAAGGGTGGTGTGGGTCAGTCAGAAATCGACATTCCCCCCAAAATGGACGGAAGTGACTGAAAACGCTCTAAAAAGTGAACACATGGTGTCCTTATGTGTCCTTCCCAACAGGCTCTACCGTTTGACCATATCAGTGTTTCATTCAAGTTTGGGCGAACACTTACTTACAAAAAGGTATCAGCCAGGAACGAGTAACTAAACTGAGTTTTGACATCGGTCCGTCCATCTATCTCTTCCACACAATTCTATACATATTACATGATTACACACATAATGCCATAAATCCGTAATTGCTAACAGAAATAAGTGTAATTTGTACAGTACATACTACATAATCACTACATTAGATAGTATACAATATTAGCGTTCAATATAATGACATACAACATATCATACCAATATTGCCACCAAACAAAGACACCTCACCGAAAAACAATTCGTTTCCACTGCCGGGTTTACTTCATCACACCCCGTGAAATCCATTAAAATCATACACAATTCCATTTAGAAAATATCATCCCATAGACGAAAACACGAAAATTCATCATAGATTCTTCACCATTAAAGCATCGATTTTCACCATCAAAATGTCATAAAACATCATAAGACCAGCGTATTTGTTCCGTGCCGTGGCCTCCGCCTCCTTGCGTTCCTTCTCTTCGCAGGCCGTCAAGGCCTCTTCAAGGCCTGGAGGGTGAGCTGAGTGATGGCCATTTTAACTATTATATGAATGAATTATATTTAACTATTATAGTTATTACTATTATAACTTGTTGGCTATAGCTATTATAATGAGTTATAGGCTATAGATATTAACTATAGATATTAACTATAGATATAACTATAAATATTAACCATAGATATTAACTATAGATACTAACTATAGATAATACGGGTTAATCTATAGATAACAATACATATATAGTATTCTTATAATCTAGAGGTATAGTTAATCTCAATGTAATCTCAATGTAGTTGAATAGTTTAGTGCAGTTATAGATAATCTTAATCATATGTTTAATAACTTTGTGTAATGATTATAGTTAATCTAAATCAGTTCATCACTTCTTCTAGTGTTAATCATAGGTTTGGCCAATCTAAATGTATAATCATGGTTAATAGTACGTTAATAGACTATAGTTAATAGATTACATGTATAGTTCTAGTTAATCAGAATCTATGGCTGATATAGATAACAACGATAGTTAATCTAGATAATGGACATTCTTCTTGTATATAATCTATAGATTAATCTAAAATAATGTAATAGTGAAATAGTAATCTAGATAATCACTATAGTTTTAGGTATATGTATTTCATGCTAGTTGGTGATGGTATGTGTACTCTATAGTCAATTTACTCTGAACGCAACTATAGTTAATTCGCAAATTGTAGTTAACTAGAAGTACAACTATTTTATAATAGCAATCATAATCTAATCTATAGCTACTTTACTATGATAATCTATGTACATATGTAAAATAGTGTTAATTAGTCATGTGTATATAAATACATGTATACGTGTGGTAAAATAGTATATATATACATATAGTAGTAGTAGAACGGTAAATACCTATATTAGATGGTAGGATAATGATCTTAGATTATATTAGATTCTATAATCATGATGTATAATGGCCTATAATGGTATAATGATACTTCATCATCAGTATCGTGTGTTCTGTTTATTTATCTTCACGGTATAATGATGTATAGTGGTATCAATAAAATTATGATGCATGGTGATTTCAATGGTGATGTATGTTACGGCCGTTCTTGCACCATCAAACGACAGATGTTAGATGTTCTTCAGAAATGGTTTTCATGACATACCCTCTGGTAATTCAACATAGCTATTGAAAATGGCCATAGAAATAGTGGATTTACCCATTGAAAATGGTGATTTTCCATAGTGTTGTGTATGTTTACCAGAGGGTAATGATGTATATTGGTACCAAGAACGGAGTCAGAGATTTCATCATGCTTTGATGGGTTATGTCTAAAATTCCATCAACCTCATATGACAAAATTTCTTGGGAAATTGGACCCAACAACTGAACAGATCCAATACTAAACTAGGGCCTAGGCTTATACTGGCATATTTGGTACTGTATGGTACGATACGGTATTGTCAGCGACTACCAATGTCACTAGGATGTTGGAAGTTTTGGGGACACGAATTCATCATGCAGGATTCAAGCCTGGGTTGACATTTTACATAGCGAGGTTTAAAAATGTATATGTATATGTACGTATGTATCTATATCTATATCTACATCTACATCTACATCTACATCTACATCTACATCTCTATCTAACTATCTATCTATCTATCTATCCATCTATCTATCTGTATGTCTGTCTGTCTGTCTGTCTGTCTATCTATCTATCTATCTGCATGTATGTCTGTCTGTCTGTCTGGCTGTCTGTATACATACATATATATATATGAACCAACCAACCAACATGCAGACAGATGATAGCGTGTGTAGATTTATGTAATGTGCTCAATGCGTATCATAGTGGAGACATGACGAAGGACTATGTGCCCGTACCAACACAAAACATGGCAAACACAAGGGGGACATGACAAGGATAACCCGCAAACACACCTAAACAATACTGAATTTCTCAAAAATGATCCACTAAGCCATGTTTTCAACCTCGCCGGATTTCTCTTTGGGGAACCGTTATCTTTCACACGTTCAAGTCATTAGTTAGACAAGGGGAGTCCATCCGCAGCCTCCATCCCCTGAGTTGCCCAACGTTGCAAGTCCCTCTCCCACATTGTTTCAATGCTCGTGCCTTGCACTGGGTCTGTCTGAAAATGGCACCGTATACCCCTAAAATGGTTGTCTTAATATTGAACAATGGTGATTTCCAGGTGGATTTTCAGGGCTTCAAAACCTTGAGCTTCCCCGTTGGTTTGCGAAAAAAAGACTGGGTTCTTGGCCTAGCCCCTTAGCATCAATCCATCATATATAAGCTACAGTAATAAATATTGGAATATCAACCTACAAGAAGCTACAGTATTAACTTATACATATACATGTACATATACATATGTATACATACATATATATATATTATATATATATGTATACATACCATCAATAATATCTCCATAGTGTTTCAACATCCCCCCTGACAGACCCCCGCCATTCCTCGCCTTTCAGCTCCTCCAGTGCCTCGCACTTTTTCTCGTGGAGGAGTCTGAGCTCCTGAGAACCCGGGGGGCGAGCGAGGCCCCGTTGGCCCGGTTGGGACCTGGGCTTCAACATAGGGGATAAGGGGCGAATGAATTGGAGCAACTAACTATGCTTGTTTGGAGAATATATATATATATAACTATAGTTACCATCCTGCTAAACTAACAGTTTGCTATTGAACATGGCCATTTAAGTTCGTTGATTTACCTAAAAAAACGGTGATGTTCCATAGTTAAACGTGAGTTTACCAAAGGGTAACCAGAGTTCATGGACATGTTACGCTATTTAATGTAATGATGTTAGATTGTGATGTTGAATGATGTTATTACAAGTGTATGATTGTTGGTCTATGGGGACATGGGGGCATCCAAGTCCTGCTATGTAACTCCATGCAGCCTATGCCATGTTATTTGATACAAGTTGGTTCATGTTGGATGACGGTATCCAAGTATTGTGATACTCAATGGATTGGTTTAAGGGAAAATGTACAGGAAAGCCCCATATTTAATGGGAAAATATGGCCATTTATAGTGGATTTACCCATTAAAAATGGTGATTTTCCATAGTTATGTTAGTTTACCAGAGGGTAAACCCAATGCCATACACCATTTCCCCAAGTCATCACCATCGTTATTGGTGGTATCAACTATCCCCAGTCATGGTAGATGGCTTACCCAACCAGACCTGCGGAAAATGGGGATGTCACCAACACATGATAAGGATTTAACCAGCAAATTATGGTGACTTTTAGCTGTAATTCACAAGCAATGAGGATTGGACATGATTGAGCCTACGGGTGGAAAACCGAACCAGTATTTTATCATGTTTTCAAGAGGGGGGTGGTGGTGGGGTGGGCTAGGTTAACAGTAATGGTTTGCAAGAAAGGTTTTCCACCCGTAGGCTTCATCAGCTAAAAGATATTGGTTCATTCACTGTTTGTTCTTTACTCCTCATGGCATGTTTTTGGTGACGGCGCCCCTCGGGGGGCAAGACTGTTGTCACTTTTGTATATTGTCTTTTTTTTTGGGTGGTTTTCGGCGGGGTTTTGGCGGGTGTTTTGGGGGGATGTAATAGCGTCCTGTGGCCTGCGTTGTCAATCACGATTTCCTGATACGTTGTAACATCTTTGTCCAGTAACTTGCAAGACGTTCCTGATACGTTGTAACATCTTTGTCCAGTAACTTGTAAGACGTTGATGATACGTTGTAACATCTTCGTCCAGTAACTTGTAAGACGTTGATGATACGTTGTAACATCTTCGTCCAGCAACTTGTAAGACGTTCCTGATACGTTGTAACATCTTCGTCCAGCAACTTGTAAGACGTTCCTGATACGTTGTAACATCTTCGTCCAGTAACTTGCAAAGACGGTCCTGATACGTTGTAACATCTTCGTCCAGCAACTTGCAAGCCGTTCCTTTCAAAAGACTGCCAAAGTCTTGAATGAGACTGTCCAGTCTGGATGACAAGTGCTCTGCATCCTTGGCGATAGAAAAAATGGCGCGCAGAAGTGTGCTAAAACCTGAAAAATTGAAGAACAATACCAAAAAATGACGCTGATTTTGCAAGCTCATGAACGCAGAAAACATTGCAAAACGCAAGAAAAAAATGCCAAAACACACTGGCACGGCGAATGTCATCAACTGAAATGTGTGCCAAAACCCATGGCGTTTGGCCCTTTGGCATCCAATGTCTATCATATGAACGCCAAGAACAGACATGTGCCGTGGGTTCAGTTTCCCACCCGGCGGGATGATGGGTCTATTGATCCCAACTATACCCTCTGGTGAACTAACAGTTTGCTATGGAAAAATCCACCCATTTTTTAATGGGAAAATCCACTATTTCTATGGTCATTTTCAATAGCTATGTTAGTTTACTAGAGGGTAACATATATATATAATTGTGTATATATATATAATCATTGATGACCATCCCCCAAGGCATTTTATCCAAGCTTTGACCGCGATTGTTTCTTGACAATCCCCAAATCGGAGCTTTATGCTTGGGGAAAAACCATAGTGTGCCAGCGGGAATCATCATTTCCATGATAATTATTATCCCACTGATCGTAGCTGGCCAGGCTGCCCCCAGGGGTCAGTCCCGTGCAGTTCTGTTTTAGACGCTAGGAACTTTCAACAACTTCCAATTTCTATAGACATTACAAATCATTATAATATATCCTATCTATAACTGGACTTATCTATAACTATATGCTAATAACTGAAGCCCATGTTCTAGTTATGCACCACCACTGGACCCTCCAGGTACCCCATCTCCCCTTCTTGTCCGTGCCTGGACCTTGTTTTCGGTGAGGGACCACATCTTCATGGACAGCAAATACTTGAAGCCCTCAGCACCCGCCTCCTCCTGGCCCAGGGGCATTGATGGATGGTTTGGTCCCACGACTTTGCCAGGATGTTGCTCCCACATATTCAACCATATGAAAACATGAAAATATCATGGTCCATATATCACTATGATGTTTGTCAGGTTTTTTCCCCTATGAAAATCCCTATTCATCATCACTGAGTGGATGGACAGCTGAGAGTGAAAGGGCCCTAAGGGAAAGTGGCACAATAGTATGTTAATTAATACTATGTATATATATATACACGATATCTATATATATATATATACTGTATATGTATTAATACATAAAGTGTTAATATCCAGTATATATATGTGGTGTATACCAATATAGTGTTATACTGTATATGTGGTGTATATAACTATATAATTATATAACTATATATGTATATGAGATAGAAACAGATAGAAATAGAAATTCCTTGAAGTTTAATTAAAGATTGATGATCACAAAGTGGATGCAACTAGGGAATCAACGCATCAAGATGCCCATCACTTCGATAGTCTGTAGGTATACCCCTACTGGGGATGATGAAAATTGGTGAACGGATAGTGGGTTGAGCCATTCATTCTCAAAAAACCTGTTGAAAGAACGGTCCCCCATGATCCAGCTATCTCCCAAGATTGGGGTAAAGCCGCAACATCTTAACTGAAACAACCACTTTTTTTGTGGTACACCCTAGCTGCCATACACCATTTCCCCAAGTCATCAAAAATCCTTATGAGATTGAAACCATCCCCCAATCATGGTAAGTTGCAGCCAGGTTTCCCATGAAAAAATCCCATGACCATCCCACAAAGGACCGGCTGGACATGAAAAGAATGAACTAAGACTGAATGTCAATTGGTTTTAAGCCAAATTCAGACTTCAGACTTCCCGAAACCTCCGAAACTGTATTTTCAGGGAGACTCTTCAGGAAACCTCCCATCCCATCGGGCGTTTCGTGTGCTTTTTTCGGCACAGCGGCTGGCGAAAAAGGCATTGGCGATCCGCTGGTCGGCGGCCGGCGCATCGCCCCAGAAGATTCCGGAGCACCGGGGATTCCACCACAATATGTTTCCTATACCCATAGGATCCATGGTGCTGGTATATATGCTAACATGACTGGGGTATATTGATGGGACCCATGTTACCATATATAGCTGGATCCTATGGGATAGACTATAGATGAATACTAAGAATTGATTGAACTGTTCCACCACACATGCTTTCCAAAAAATGGGGGTACGCCCAAATCATCCAAGTCAGACCATTTTAGTACTAAAACCCATGGTTTTGGGGATCCCCAAAAAATATCCAAAAATCCCAAAATACGGAAACCCCCATGGAGGGTTCAATCATCGTTTCAGGAGCCGGGACGAAAATGATAAAACATCTCCCAACATTTGGAATGGTCGAATACTAAAAAGAACGAAAGCTATGAATAAGCCAAAATTGTGGCACATGACCTACTCTGGTTGGTGGTTTCAACCCCTCTGAAAAATATTAGTCAGTTGGGATGATAATTCCCAATATATGGAAAATAAAAAATGTTCCAAACCACCAACCAGGTACCGTTTTGTACCCATGTTCCATTTTCCCTTTTGGATGTTGAGGTGAGAAAAAAATGATATAACTGATATAACCACTGGTTAGCATCATTTGGTTGGTTCTGGGGCGGCAAAATGGCGCGCCGGAACGCTGGAAAGGAGACCCAGTCAGGAATTGCAATGGAACCGCCGCGAGAAGTTTAGTCCTCTACATGATTGACATGGTGCGTTCAAATACTTCAAGTACCTTTTTTTTGACAAATGTTGAATCCAAAGAGTCAGTGTGTGTGTGTATATATAGGTTTAGATATGTTTAGATATGTTTAGATGTCAGCACAAACAACATCTAAACAACATCTAAACAACATCTATTGGCCGCATCTGCTTTCTCCATTCGGACCATTGCAAGTTCCGTTCAGTGGTCTCAAAATGTACAGTGAAGTAGAGCGGCAGAAGTTCCAGGCATCATTCTATCCAAAAAGAAGATCAATGTATCCACTGTATCCACCTTTCCTGCTTTTGGACTGTAGTCTGTCTTGTTCATTCATTTATATAACTCTATTGAACTACAGTAAGCCTAAGAAGCCGTGTATTGTATCTCTTCGATAGGTTCCCAAGTTCAATGGCCATTTCAGGAACCTAAATTGGAGGTACCTACCATATATAAGGCCTATATAAGGCCTATGTAAGGGAATATCCCAGCAAAATATGGCCTTATATGGTACAGTACCTCCATTTTAGTATCCTGGAATTCCCATTGACAAGTTCCCGTCTCGCCCGATTTGACAACATATATATGTATGTATGTATGTATGTATGTATGTATGTATGTATGTGCACATACATATAAACTATTGAATGCACATCTGGTAAATATACATTCACATATATATATACATATCATTATAAAACTATTATATAAATGTAAACGTGGTAAAGAAATATGATATGAATATAATATATGATATGTGTATATATATGTGTCCATGTCCATATTCCCAGACAGGATCTCCTCCATGATCAACAAAAAAATTATATGATTCAACTGCAATACTTCAATATGTATACAACGAAAAAAACATGACGAGGTATGTCTAATGTGTATATATATATATATTATATGTATATATGTTAGTTATATAATATATGCCAATTCTCATCTTTTTTCACCCGTTCATGTTTGTTTCGAAGACGTATGCATCTTCAGTGCAGTTTCTGCCACCCCCTCCAGCAATGCAACTCAGAATTCCTCAGAGAGTCGAGGCAAGGCGGATCGCATGAAGCGACCTCAGGCGCTGGCGGAACCCCGAAACATCGCCAAGAAACAGCTACCCTCTGGTAATTTAACATAGCTATTGAAAATGGTGATTTATAGTGGATTTTCCCACTAAAAATGGTGATTTTCCATAGCTATGTTAGTTTACCAGAGGGTAGATATATTCATGAATCTGAGTTGAACTTTGATTTTCTGGGATTTTGGTGTGTTTATGTGACATAGAAAGTGGAGCCACCGGTTGCCAGTGCCTCACGGCCAGGTTCCCGAACCCTTTCGACCGTCGGAAGATGCCTCCATCGATTGCCAACTCTGGAGGTTTCCATGTCGTCATGGGGGTACCCCTTTATCGCTGGAAAATCCCATGAAAATCGGATGAGAACTGGAGGTACCCCCACTAGATATACAAAATGACAAGACGGCTTGTAGGGCAGAAAAAATGGGAAGGCCCCAAGATCGGAAAGCTGGTAGTTTGAATATGCCCAGCAATTGCAGGTCCTGCCTTACACTCTTCCATACGTCAAACGTGTCTTTTTAAAAGGTCTGTGATGTCAACAAGTAGCATTGCAGCCAATGGCCAACTATCTGGTGGTTTTCTGATACATATATTGATATTATATGTATACATGTAGAGAAAGATTGAGATAGATTCATCCTGATTGAAATGACTCACCAACCGCTTTCACATTTCAACATCTTTTCTAGATTCCCTATAGATTTCCCCATGGATTTCCCTATAGATTCCTGTGATATTTCCCGATTCCCCATGGATTTCCACCGGGGAACCCACCTGTCGTAGCATCAGCTCGTCCATGAGTTCGCTCAGGGTATCCATCCGCTCCCTCAGGACGCGCATCTGCCCATCGACCTCCGGGGCTTCTTGCGACTGGACCTCATTTTTGGGAAAAATTGGCCTTGAAGTAGGCAAAATGATGATCTAACCAAGAAAAATTGGTGATTTACAATCTTTACATAAGTATCATAAGTACGTATATTCAAGTAGCAAATATGATGATCTAACCAAGAAAAAATGTGATTTAAGCAGCAATAACAGGGCTTGAACCAACAAACAATTGTAATTTAATCAGTGAAACTGTGGTTTTAACCAACAACAAAGCTGTTTCGATGGGATTGGGATTCAAGCCAAATTTAAAAGTTTACATATCCAACAAAAAGTGAATTTGATTTTAACCCTCAAACTGGCGGTTTTAATTAATTTAAGCAACAAATTTGTGGCACCATCGAAATGTGGTTTAACCAATACCATTGGGGGATTGTTTCCATAAAAAATCTGGCATTGGCTCCAACGAAAATGCAGATTCACAACAAATTTCGGCTTTAAACAACAAACATGGGCGATTCATAGAACCATCAGAAACCAGGAATGAAGCAACGAAGGATTGGGTTTCATTGATGGAAAAAATCGGGAGTTGACCAAGAACAACTCGTATTACCTCCAGTTCACCACCTGTCGGAGCGACCATCACAAAAAGCTGCACGCTAGAACCAATACATATCTGGTTGGTGGTTTCAACCCCTCTGAAAAATATTAATCAGTTGGGATTATTATTCCCAATATATGGAAAAATAAGAAATGTTCCAAACCACCAACCAGATATATAACCTGATTCGAATTGCCCAATCACTGTTGGCATGAACACATCTATGTTCAATTCACCATACTAGACTATGACGGATTGTCATAAACATATTGGCTGATTGGGATGTTTGGCATTCGCCTGACTTCCAACGGTTACGGCTACCATCAAAAATAATGTGTTCTCACAATGGAAATACCTGCACCCTCGAAATGCCCATGTGTGTGTCTGTGTGTGTAATCATATATTATAATATATATATATATATATTATAATTGTTAATTATACAGTGTTACTATACATGTAATAACATATAATTATTATACACACATAGATATATATATATATATATGTACACAGTACATGTATCATCTTGAATCTTGCCGTCTTTGACGCGCTTTCTACGGATGTGTTGAGAGTTGCACCAGTTCCGCCCTACCTCCGCTAGAAGCTCCTCGCGTCGCTTCTGAGCGCCTATGGAAGCCATGGACCATTTATGGAGGATTTACATGGATGGAAGCCATGAATGACCGACAAAAAGCACAGATGTTCCATAGCTATGTTAAATTACCAAAGGGTATTATACAGGTCATAAGTGTTGCTTAAACATTGGCTACATGATGGTACAGGTAAATAGCAGGTGCTGAAAATGTCATCGAAAAAACACTTCTTTGCGAATCAGCGCCCAGCATGGCCCACCTCTGAAGGGTTTTGGTGCGAATCATGTGTGAGTCAAACTCGCGTACCCTCTGGTAATCTAGCATATGGCTAAAATCATATTATGTTATAGACATAGATAGCTATAGATTGTATGTCTATCAAACATGATGATTTTCCAGTTCCCTATGGCACAAAGGACCAGAGGCTACCCCCATAGCAAGGCCAATGGCCTACTCCCAAACTATGCCAAGCATTGAAAACCCATGGAAAAACATGGGATAATGTGGGAAACCCAAACAAATAAAAACATCTCCAAAATCGCCAAACGTGGATTGGTGCTAAGGAATCATCCACCAGGCCGCTAGGTTTACTATTGGGCTTCTCACATTCCTCAAGTATGATGGGATACTCAGAAACATTTTGCTGCTCAGTACAAGCTCTTCCCCATCAAGATTGCAAAACAACACCACAAAAGAAAAACCATAAAAGTATATGTTACATCTTTCATGTGATCCACAATGCCATAAAAGATATAAAAGCATCTCCACTCACTTCCACTAGCCAACCATTTGGGGGCTAAGACATAAATGTCCCAAGAATCGGGGCAATACACAATGTTATAAAGTTATAAACCACTACAGTATGCTCTGATGGTGACGATGATTCTAGTGTCGAGTTCATGACGTCTACTGTACTTATCTTTTATCCCATTGAAAAAAACAACCATGTAGAGACCTGGGAAACTCTTCGTAGCTCCGAAACGGCTGCGAAAATATGGGCCCGTCTGCGGCACCTTGATGCAGCAAATCAAAGACCTCCTGCTGCAAGCCCTGGGAAAAACGACTGGGCGATGCAGTTGTCAGTTCTGGGCCATCTTTGTGTGGGGAAAATCATGGGAAAATGATGGTTAAATGATAGGAGAATGATTGGTATCATATGGATTTTGGAATTCACAAAAAACGCCATAAACCGAAAAAACAAATCACCAGATTTGAAAAAGGGTCGTATAAATCATCCCGGAATGGTAGGTGTATGGCTCCCAGCAACCTTGGTTCAGTAGTGAATCTATTCGTTTGAGGACAAACACTCCAAAGGGTGTGTATATTACGGGGATGGGATTAAATCTCTGAACTGTTCAGAATGTGGCCTTGAAAATGTGGAGAAATGAATACCGCCACTTAGTTGTACATATATATATACATACATACATGCATATATATATATTTGGGTACATACAAACATCATCCGGACCCGGTAAGGTAAACAATATACCGATGCCATTATTTTCTCTAGTCCAAACTGTTGACCCAATGTATACGTATATTAGTCTGAAAAATGCCATAATATATACATGTATCGTATAATTATATAAACATACAGTATAAACATGCTTTTAAAAATGCCGGACAGTATTTTTCGAGGATGTTTCCAAAAAATGTTTCCAACATTTTCCAACTGTTCTATCTGTTGCTGGGAGTTCCTATATCATTATATTTAAGGTGGGGCGAAATAGATTGCTAAACTGGGTTTTTATAATTAACTTGGTGAACTAGGGTTTATGGTGAATATACCTGCAAAGATACAAAAAGATGTAAACAAACTCACCACTTAAAAGATCCATTTCCTAGGGAAACGCAGCTGGTTTCCACATTTTTTTCTTTGTTTACCCCAGGAATCTTCAAAAACCGCCAGCTGGCTCACCTCCAAGCGTTCGGCGAAGCTGCTGAAGCGTTGCTCGTGGGCCTGGAGTCCATGGAAGCAGCTAGGTCGCACAATCGCGGAATGAAATTATGATATCCCATATATTGTATCTATAGATTATCCATATAGATGATATACCATAATTATGATATACATATAGATTATTCCATAGTTGATATATTAATATATGATATGATATACCATATCTGAAATTATAGTATCCATAGAAATAGTTGATTTCCTGTTCTAAAATGGTGGATTTTTCCATAGTTTTTTGTATGTTTACCAGAGGGTATCCCATATATGATTGATGTACCATCTGGTTATTTAACATAACCATGGAAAATCACAAAAATAAATGGAGGTTTATAGCTAGGAAAATCATCTATTTCTATGGGCCATGGCTTCCATGGCTATGTTAAATAACCAGTGGGTACCATGTAAGTTCCCATTTTTCCCATTATTTTCCCATTGTTGTAAGTGGATATACCATGTGAACAAATTGTTATCACTTACAATGGGAAAAATGGGAACACCGTCACCTACTGGTTTTTTCATGGGGATACCAGGATATGGTTGGAACCAGAACTAAATGGAGCTGTGAATAGCTGGGAAAATCAGCAAACTAAATGCGCCATTGTCCATAGCTATGTGATTTTACTGGAGGGTAAACGATGATGATCCCCATGATTATCCCATCAACTTGTTGGTTGTACCCATGTTGGTTATATCATAAAATATCCACATGAGAAATCACCGTGCTGGCATTTGTCACCACTTAGAAAAACATGTTTCAATTCCATTGGAATCCCATGAAATCAGCACCAGGTTTGATGTGTTTTTACCATCTTAAACCCATCAAATCCCATTGAAATCCCATTTCTCTTGCCATGTTTCCCATGAAATCCCATCAAATCCCCGGGGAACCGTGGAATCACCGGGATCAATCGCACCTCCACGTGCACCTTCTGCGACGCCAGCCGTGCGTCCAGTTCATCGCAGCGTTTCAGCAAGACGCCAGACCTGCGGACCGGAGGTATCTACGCGAAAAACATGGGATAAATAAGTTATATATATATATATATTTATTTATTGTTTTGTGCACATGTGTATGTATGTATGTATGCATGCATGCACACATGGATGGATAGATGGATGGATGTATGTATGTGTATGTATGTGGATGTATGTGTATGTATGTTTGTATGCGTGTATGTGTTTATGTGTGTATGTATGTATGTATGTATGTATGTATGTATGTATGTATGTATGCATGCATGTATGTATGTATGTATGTATATGTATGTGTATGTATGTGTATGTATGTGTATGTATGTGTATGTATGTGTATGTATGTGTATGTATGTGTATGTATGTATATGTATGTGTATGTATGTGTATGTGTATGTATGTGTATGTATGTGTATGTATGTGTATGTATGTGTATGTATGTGTATGTATGTGTATGTATGTGTATGTATGTGTATGTCTGTATGTCTGTCTGTCTGTCTGTTTGTATGTATGTATGCATGTATGCATGCATGTCTGTATGTCTGTATGTCTGTCTGTCTGTATGTATGTATGTACGTATGCATGTATGCATGTAGTGTATGCGTGTATGTGTGTATGCGTGTATGTGTGTATGTGTGTGTATGTATGTATATGTGTGTGTATGTATGTATGTACGTAGGTAGGTAGGTATGTATGTATGTGTATGTATATGGATGTGTATGCTTGTATATGTATGTATGTATGTATGTATGTATATTTGTATGTATGTATGTATGTGTGTGTATGTATGTATGTGTGTATGTATGTGTGTATGTATGTATGTATGTATGTATGTATGTATGTATGTATGTATGTGTGTGTACGTATGTATGTACGTAGGTAGGTAGGTATGTATGTATGTGTATGTATGTGTATGTATGTGTATGTATGTGTATGTATGTGTATGTGTATGTATGTGTATGTATGTGTATGTATGTGTATATGTATATGTGTATGTATGTGTATGTATGTGTATGTATGTGTATGTATGTGTATGTGTATGTATGTGTATGTATATGTGTATGTGTGTGCATGTGTGTGTATGTGTGTGTGTATGTATGTATGTATGTATGTGTACGTATGTGTATGTATATTGTATGTGTATGTATGTGTATGTATGTGTATGTATGTGTATGTATGTGTATGCATGTGTATGCATGTGTATGCATATGTATGCATGTGTGTGCATCTGTATGCATGTGTATGCATGTGTATGTGTATGCATGTATGTGTATGTATGTATGTCTATGTGTATGTATGTATGTGTATATATGCATGCGTATGTCTATGTGTATGTCTATGTGTATGTCTATGTGTATGTATGTATGTGTATGTATGTATGTGTATGTATGCATGTGTATGTCTATGTGTATGTCTATGTGTATGTCTATGTGTATGTTTATGTCTATGTGTATGTCTCTGTGTATGTCTATGTGTATGTCAATGTGTATGTCTATGTGTATGTATGTGTAGGTGTGTATGTATGTGTACGTATGTGTATGTATGTGTATGTGTATGTATGTGTATGTATGTGTATGTATGTTTATGTTTGTGTATGTATGTGTATGTATATGTATGTGTATGTATGTGTATGTATGTGTATATGTATACGTATATGTATATGTATATGTGTATGTATGTGTATGTATGTGTGTATGTATGTGTATGTATGTGTATGTATGTGTATGTATGTGTGTGTATGTGTGTATGTATGTACGTAGGTACGTAGGTACGTAGGTACGTAGGTACGTAGGTACGTAGGTACGTAGGTACGTACGTAAGCGTGTGGGTATATAGGTATGTAGGTATGTAGGAATGTAGGTATGAATTTTCACCCCCAGCCATGGGCCACACCAGTTGCTGCACACCAAGTCTGGGTCATGGTTTCAACCCATCCGACAAAATCAATGAATATCAATCAAAAACATAGCAAAAAAAGCAAATTTCGATCGTTGTCCCAGGGATCAACAAGGACAACGTAGCTCCAAAGAGGCGAAAAACAGTGTGTTTGGAGGGTTCATCTTTTCTGCCGCATGTCTCAGCCAATATTTAGGTGTGGTTGAAAACAAGGTACCAGTACCCCTAAATCCAGTGGCTGACCAGCATGTTCCTATTGAAATTGACATGTTCTATTGTTAAATTACAATTTAGTGCGTTGATTTGTCATGTTCATGGAAAATCACCGATGAAATCCATATAACTTTGGAAAATCACAATTTTTCATAGACAAAATTAGACAAATCAACGAACTCCAGGGTCATTTCAATAGCAATTTGCGATCCCCATGAACCATGAAATTGTTGGGGCCTGTCTTCTTTCGCCGAGCTCAGCGGTTCCCGGCAAACAGCCTTGGGACCCGTGAGAAATGACGTTTTGAATGGAAACATATGCGAAGATGTGGGAAAATATGGGGAAATTATGGGAAAATGGTGGAAATTATGATAAAGTAGTCATGGATAGGCGTTCAAAACTTGGCAATACTCAAAGGGAATATATAAGCGATTGAACAACAAAGACATGGCCATTGTTCCAGCAGCGCTGTATATATCTCCTAGCTAGTTAGTCCTAAATCCGAAGCGATTATGAGCCCAACCAACAATCCAAAAAGCCGCGTACGCATCCCCATCATACACATGATCGGTGAGATTGGGAAAGCCTCGAAATTTTTTGAACATGGCCCCAAATCATCCTAAATCCCAAAATCATAGGCAAAAGTAAAATGTCCAAAAGAACAATTGCATTTTTTGTGGGCAACCCAATGCCATAAACCTACCATGTGGAGATGGTTTATACCACCCGTAAAAATGGTGATTTTAAGCATGGTTTATGAAATTGGGTTTACCCAATTAAATATCCCTATCATACCAATCATTATCCTATCAGTTGACCATCATTACCCTATCATTTAACCATCATTATCCTATCGTTTCACCATCATTTTCCTATAACTGTCCTATCATTTAACCATGATTTTCCGATAGCAATTATGATTCACTTCAGCCTGGCAGCCACTTTCTCATCCATCGCCTGGTCCGGTCGCGTTTCGGCGAAGAGGGGCCCGTTGACCGAAGTCACACTGGCAATTAAGCAGGGTTCCATGTGTATATATATATACATATATATATATGTATATACATACTCTGCTGAACTACAGTGGATTTTTTTTATGATCTAGCCTCCAGCAAATTAAGATATATTAAGTTATGTTAAGATCAAATCAAAAAATAACATGGGAAACTACTGGGGAAACTCATTTACTGTACAAATGGATACAAATGGTAGGTTGTACATGTCCGTGTTCCTCTACGGTCAAACTGTTGAGCCACAGCAAAAACTACAGAAAGTATCAAATAGTTGGTTTCAACCCATCCCAACAACATCAGTCATTGGGGAACATCATTCCATTTTCATGGTTCCAAATCACAATTCGATTTCAATCCACCAGTTGATTACTATGCCGAGATCATCCGAAATCCCGGGTTTACAGTTTACAGTATCCAGTTTGAGATTTTTAACTATGCCGGATGATAATTTCAACCATGTCTAGGTCTTCATATGCAACCGGAGTATCCCATATGATCACATGATCTCCCATTTTCCCTGTATATGATATCCCAACTTGCGAATGATTGTCGCATTTTCCCATATCCACTTTTTCGCACAAATATTGTCCCATGTAATCTTCCATTTCCCATTGTTTATTCCATATTCTGTTTTTTTAGTCGCACCCTCGTAGTACGAAATGTACCTGCATACATTAAAGTTCATTGAAATATATCCTGTCATATCCCCATCAAACGGTTGGTTGACCCACATGCAATTATAAAGACATCCCATCAATATTTCCATATGTCCATCTGGTTCTGGAAATGGAGGATACCTCAAAATGGCAAATTTATCAGGGAAATAAGAATTGAACGAACAATTTTGGGGCATCCTATTTCCAGACAAACCCATTTAATGTATTTTAATGTGATATTCATTGTTTGTTAAATTCCCACTACTGTTGCTTTATATCCCATCATATCCTCATGATATGTCCATTTATTGTTGGTGTATCTCTCCCTTAAATCCATTTTTGGGGGGTTGGTTAAAATCCTTAAAGTCCCAATTGGTATCTGATCTGTTCCTTAACATAGAGCCAAATGATACCCCCAGGCCCTATCAAATGAGGGTTTTATCACCATGTTTTCTGATTTGTTTATTATGTGTTTAAAGTATTCCCCAAGGATACCGTTAATTATATATTCAGCTGAAGCATTCCTTACTTAGCTATGAGTCAAGGCCTTGAGACCGTGGGTAACCTAAGATAACTGGTATAGCTGGATGTTTATTCGCCAAGCGAACACACCCTCAACCCCCAGACCCCCAGAGTGAAACGGGAACCCTTGCTACGCATTAGGAAACAAGTCCACAGGAAACTACACTTTTTGCATCTTTTTTACCACCAATTATAGGATTTATAGATATTATAGAGGGTTCCTGTAGATTTTCCCTCCAACCAATCCACCAATCCCCAGCGCCTGAAGTATCTCCTCGCGCATACCGCCCAGGACTTCGGCTCGGCGACGCAAGCCATCGCACTCCACCTTTTTTCGCACCGACCGATGGGGGAAAGCCATGGGAAATCATGGGAAACCCATGGGAAAGCGTGTGAAAATGCTGGGGTAATATGGAGATGTAGCTCACATAGTGACATGGCAGAGATCTTAGATGATTTAAGCAGTTGATTTGAAATCTACACGAAACCATCTAGTTTGCAAAGTCGCGGGGGTTCCTGCAAATGTTTCCTTCACCCAAGTCCAGGAGACTGAGATTCACCAGCCAAAAAACAGAAGTTCGCTTGACTTAACATGACTTAAGCATCAAACATGATCAAAATATGGCGATTTCATGGCTATTTTCATGCGATATATTGGCCATATAAGGAGGATCTATTGGGATACGACTGATGGGTAGGTCTGAAAATGGGCTACACCCCGCAAATCGCAATTCTAATTTCTAATAGTCAACGTGATGATAGGGCATCCTATTTTCAATCAAACCACTCATCGTGGAATCTCTCGTGGAGACATCTTTAGAGATACCTCCGGGGATCTTCAGACATGTATTTATACGTCTTGGGGTGCTGGGGGATATGTTTGAGATAGCTGTAGCCCCCAGGGGAATCAGCGCAGATTAACGACATAGTGATAAGTGGTATTTGAATTCGACATTTTTTGGGGATATAACGGAAAGCATATTGTGAACACGTTTTGAACACCTTCAAGCCGCTTGCAATACGAATCATCCAAACAAAAAACAGTCGTATGTACTAAACTTTTACACCCAACAGTCACACTTCATCACGGAAAGAATACTTTCATACTTACATTTGAGCTGTGAAACATACCCCTATCTCATCCCAAAAGAAACAGGTCAATGAGTAGCTATCCGGTTGAGTATGTGTTAGCGCATAATCCGCAATGAACCAGGCAGTATAACCCACTTTACCAACCAAACAACAAGGGTATCTCTAGCGGGCGTCATCTTATTTATTTTCCATGTTTTCATCGGATTACTCTTGATATATACATATATTGATAATATCAATCACTAATCCACATCCTATTTGTATATTACTTCACTATATACAACTTTATACTATATGTACATATATATATACAGTATATCCAACCAAGCAAGTCGGCCACTTAGAAGTGCCACCTGTCCGTGGGGCCTGACCAAGCTCTCCCTTGCTGAACTGAAGCAATCAGCTGTTGGTAACAGCCTTTTGCTGCGTGGAATTTGGCTGTGCGTGCCGGTGGCTCTATGCGCGGGAGCAGTGATTCTGGAACACCCTGCGCCGCCACTACAGCCTGATCGAGCAGCCATCTGGAGGACTGGAGTGATCAATCTTCTGTTACGCGCTGGATGGTTGTTTCGTCGACACACCTTCAGACAAGGACATCATGGAGCATGTGGCTCGAAGCCTACATCTCTCCTCTATGCGAATTGCAATATCAGCGACGTGCTCACTGAATTTGCTCAGCCCATGCAACGTGACCGCACCGAATCTCTCATCGGCCATGATGAGGCCGGCAACTTTCGAACCTCTAAAGCGAAGGAATACCCATCGAATTTTTGCATGTGCCTTGCAGTCTCTTTCTGGAGACGCATTGAGGCACGCGCCCGGATTATCAGCCGATGTGCTGAGGATCCATTGCGAGACCGCCGCGAGTGAATCTCAAAGGGCCGAGCAAAAAAAAACAAGTAAGTACAAGTATAACAGTATATCCCTAATTTGATCACGATATCATCCCACCATCGGCCCAGGAGTCGCACCTGGAGCCTTGCCACTTGCACCTGTGGCGCACATGGCGGAGGGGAAGCCAGGGACTGGCCGAGCTGTGACAACTAAGGGAAAGCACGCATTTTATGAGGATTTTACGGAGGGTTTTGCATTTTATGGTGATTTCATGGGGATTTTATGGGGGTGCTAGGAGGATTATATGGTGATTGTATGGGGATTTTAGCATTTATGGTGCTTTTATGGTGATTTTACAGGGGTTTTAGTTTTTTTGGAATTTTTAGGAAGATTATATGGTGATTTTATGATGATTTTATGAGGTTCAATGATGTTCAATGCGGATTTCATGGGGGTTTCATGGGGAATTGATTAGGATGAATTGAAACTTTCATGAGTGTAATGGATGGGGGTTGATGGGATTTCATGGGATAGCAAGTTTAATAGCAACTGAATTCACATTTGTTTATCGCTATTGTTGGCATATCGGTATATCGTTATTGGGGGCACACCCAGAATCTTTAATCAACAGAGTTGATTAATGTAGGGTTGAAATTATAGGATATGTATGTATGTATGTATGTATATACGTACCCTCCAGGAAATTAACACATGCAAAACTCATCAAAACATGTAGATAATTTCCTATTAAGACCCACACATGGATTTCCATATCTATGTCAATATACTGGCAGGCACATGTAAATATAGTTTATATATATATGTATATATATATATACCAATCTCTATCTATGCGTGCATGTATCTATATATAGATATGTATGAGCAGTAATCATATGTCTGAGTCATGTGGACATAGTTTCACATGGTGTGCTTTGTATTCCCCGTTGATTGGTGAAATCCCCATGTGATATCTCGACATCTCGAGAAGTGTCCAGTGGAAATCACCCAAACTAATGGATGTCTTAATGGGGAAATCATCTATAAATGGTGGGTTCTCCGTTGCCAATGGGAAAAATGGGAATTTAACCACTATTTCATGAGATTTAATGGGCATACATATACTGAGGATATAATGGGATAATAGTGGGATATACCTTCCAGTTATCAAACATGGCAATTGTTGGTTCGTTGTATCCCACTAGATCCAATGAAATATCCCAAATAAACCCGTTCATTTGCGTCAAATTACTTTTGACCCCCTCCCATTATGTCCTCAAGTTTTTGAGTTTAGTTTACATCCCAGTTAGACCCATTTAAATTCCATTCCCAGCAAATCGGGAAAATTCCTCGCAATCCAATTCCCAACCACTCCAGGTGTCGGCTGCTGTGAGGTCGTTCGTTTATTTACCCAGATCTAGATATTTCAACCAATTCCTCCAATTCATCTGCCATGTGAAATGACCAACATCTGTGTGCTTTCCATTCTGTCCCCCAAGTTATTGATGTATTACCCATGGAAGGTCAGCATGGATTCTTGAAATTCTGGGGATAACTGATGTAGAAACATGTAAATAGTCCTTCCATTCTAGTTTTTCATGTTGAAATCCCCCGAAATCCGCAGATGTTCCTTGGTCAATTGGTCGTCAAAATGCCCAACCTCAACGGCCACTTGCTGCTCATTCACTTGACGTTCCACGTTCACAATGGCACCTCCACGCGCTATAGGTCCGTGCAGATGGTAAGGATAGAGAACGCCATCATAGAAACCATATGGTAAATATAAAATTACAATTGGTGATATCTATGGATATAAATGTGTATCTAATTTATCCCGGCAAGAGACCCCAAACAGTGTGGGGGTAGTAAAAAGATCATGCACTTTAATGTTGTTGATGATGTTGATGATGATGGTGGTGTTAATGATGATTCTGTTGGTGATAATGGTGATGATTATGATGATGACGATGATGGTGATTATGGTGATGATTATGATGATGACGATGGTGATGATGATAGTGATGATGATGATGATGAGGAAGATGATGGTGATGATGATGGTGATGATGATGGTGATGACGATGGTGATGATGATGATGGTGATGATGACGATGTTGAGAGGAAGATGGTGCTGTGAATGTTGAGGAGGAGGAGGAGGAGGAGGAGGAGGAGGGAGATGATGATGATGATGATGAGGATGATGATGATGATGGTGGTGATGATAATGATGGTGACGATGATGATGATGGTGATGATGATGATAGTGATAGTGATAGTGATAGTGATAGTGATAGTGATAGTGATAGTGATAGTGATGGTGATAGTGATAGTGATAGTGATGATGATGATGATGATGACGATGATGATGATGATGATGCTGATGCTGATGATGAGGAGGAGGAGGAGGATGGTTATGATGATGATGTCGAGGAGGATGATGTTGAGGAGGAAGGCCGATCCCAAGACCGGGAAGCACACTTTGTGCGAACCTGCGCAGTTGAAATGCACGTGGACATGTCACAAGAGGCATTACGCTAATCCCGGGGCAAGCATTTTGCGCGAGCCTGCGCAGTCGAAATGCACATGGACATGTCACAAGAGGCATTTTGTGCAGAATTTTACAGGGAAAATGCCGGACGCTAATCCCGCGGCAAGCATGCATATATATATATACTGTATATATATATATATATAGAAGCAAAATAGTTAGCGGGGGCTACAAACTACCATAACTTGGGGGCAATGTCCTTCCGGGAAAATTCGACAGGCCGCTACAATTTATGATCTTTTCCTCTGGGTTGTGAAGGGCAGGTGAACCCCTCCAGGAAAATCTGCCAAGCAGTGAAAGCTATGATTCAGAGCCAAGGAGGTTCGAGCGACCACCACAGATGATCAGAAGGGTTGACTATCCAAAGCTGTGAATTTGCCATCAAGCGAACCGTGATATGTCCGACATATCATTTTCAGGGGCGGTTGGTTAAAAAACATCACCAAACAGTTTCATTCTGTTTCACCCTCTCTAGCATGAGGATATAGAAGGATCTCCCACATTGCAAAATCTCACAAAAGTTGAGAAAACTTGTTTCAGGGATGTTCTACATTTAAACTTTGCACTTTAAATCCATATGTTGGGATCTATTCAGATGATTCCAACCATAGTTCACGGCAATTCTCAACCAATATCAGCCGAGTGAAGAAGACATGATCCCAGGAAAATTGCAACAGTGGCAGTGCGGCAGAACCTTCACCGTGGCTCCGACCTTCAAGTTGAGCATACCATGGAGGAACCTCCTGAATTTTGCTGATGGCCTGCACAGGACGTTGCTGTTTATCTGAAAATGGTTTATCCTCAAATTTGATGGTTGAAGATATTGTCCACGATAAAATTGACACGTTTTCACACTTATACACCACACCCTACTTGAAGACAAATCCATATCAAATTGGTTAGCAATCTTGCCTGGGCCCAAAAATCAACAAGTGCCTGCGCGAAGAGACTACGCTGCCCACTGCCTACGCTACATTGCAAAACACATATAATTCATATAATATCATATAATCAGCTCGCCCAAAAAAATGCTCCCAGCTAAATATCAGCTCGCCTCCCAGCTCACAAATCCCCATGATCTTCCCATATCCCCATTGTATCAATTGTTCATTGGTTGATTCAGTTCAATCCCATTGTTTGATGCTTCAATTCCAACATGTCATCATTTGTCATGCTTAGATCCACCACTGTTGATACTTCGATTCCTTGTTTGGGATTTTTGACCGTTACCCTCCACCAAATTAACAACACTGAATATAAATTAAAATAATAAAAAACATAGTGAAAACTCATGTTTCAACTCCAACTCTTGGCAGGGTCTATGTTAATTTACCGGAGGCTAAAGGGAGGTTTCCTAAGTTTCCTAAAATGTTTTTATTTTTATTTTTCGTAAAATAAACATAACAAATAAACCATGCAGCTACTGGGGCACCCCCATGACTTAGAAAACCCCCAAATCCCAACATCTATGGGCTGTGGCCGCTGCCCCGGCCATCGCCACCTTCAGCTGCTCTTCGCTTCGACGTACACTTCGCCTAGAAGCGCCGATCGTTTCTGCGCTGAACGGGAATGGAAAAGGATCTAACCTTCAGTCATCAAACATGGCAAGCTGCGAAATCATCTATGGGAGCATAACTATCAACAACCTATAATTGGGACGCTAATCATCAATAAATGGGTGATATCAATAATTGACAATAACCAAAATAAATGGAGGTTTAAAGCTGGGACAGCAACCATCAATACCCTATAATTGAAGACTTTCCAGCAAACCATCTTTGATTGCCAGAGGGTATCTATGTCATCTGTCTATCTATCTATCTATCTATCCATCCATTCAATTATTTCTTAATTATGAATTATACTTCAGGAACGCAAACAGCTACTGCTTTACTATAACTACTACCATCTATAACAACTATGGCTTAGAGACCCTTCGGAATCGGAAAAATATAGCACCCATGCTGATGGCCAATTAAAAAGCCATTAGACTTCATCAAGGTTTACCAAGGGCAAATGTAGTTGTGGATAGTGGCATCCATGGCTTTTGCGGCGCTTGAGCCACCAAGGGGCCCCCCAAAAAAATAGTAGAGGATCACCAGCTAATGTAGACTGGGGATGGAACTAAAAACATGTTTGACACCAACAAAACCTATGCATTGATGTGAAAATCACCGTTAGAGAAATTTAAGGATTAAACATGATTAAACATAATTCGCTGAGTCGCAACAAGTGGATGTGATGTAAAACCATCTAGCCATCCGAACATTCCGATTCATAAAGGCCAATGCATTGCCTGGTGGTTGAAAAATGATAGGCCTCCCCTGCGTTTTTCATGGCCAAATATCAACCCATTGGGGTCACTTGCGACAAGATGCACATCCAATATAGTCATTGGATAGCACCTTTCAGAAAAAAAACGGAAAAGTGAAATCCAATCCTCAAACAATAGCAAATGACTGTTCTATTCTCTTTCGGCCTTGCGACAGTCCTTAAAAAATCCAACCAAACAATTATTAAAATCATTTCAGATATCACCACCGTTTTAAGGGGGAACATACCCAAAATGTAAGCTACATTTTTCAAGGTGTTTTTGAGGGGGTCCTTGAAAATGTAAGCTTATATTTTGAAGGTATTTTTAAGACCCTCCCCACAAAAACGACACCTGGGGGACGTCCAGCGACCAATTTTACACTTAAGGGGGGGTCCCCAAAAATGTATCTTACACTTTATATGGTCCCCCCTGAAAAGTAGCCTTAAAGGGGTGGTGATTTTAAGATATTTAGGAAATATACTTAAATCATTAAAATCGCTTCAGAATCCCAATAAACAACATTTTTTTTGTTCACCACATCTACTCTCAGTCCGTCGATGTTGCCGAGCAACTCGTGTACTTGCAAGGCCCGTTCTGCCTGCGATCCATTTGCACTGGGTCAACATCACTGGGTTTCATGATGTTTATATATGTTTGTATAATATAGTTGCAAAAGGGACACAATGATAACTATGGTGCACTGTGGTATTACTTTGGTTACAATTTATGAAATAATGGCCAACATGGTGATTGCAATGGGCATAATGACATAGCAGGTAGGGACATCCCCTATCAACGGATGCAAAATCATCGAAGTAAATAGGGGCAAAACTCGCATGGCCTGTTTGATAGCCGGAGGGCATTCATTTCTGCAGTTCAGTAATACCCCAAAGTTGGAATACTGGCTTGTGGTATACCCACCCCTCTGAAAAATATGAAAGTCATTATTATTCCCAATATATGGAAAAATAAAATTCATGTTCCAAACCACCAACCAGAATAAGTTGGAGACGTCTTATCCGGCAGTTGCTACCCATTGGAAACACGTAGAGATCTGAAAATCGCACTCGGCTGAGCATGTCCAACATGCTCAGCAATGGCGCCATGAGGATCGGTAATGAAGCCCCATGTTGATGGTTCCCCACTGGTAATCACATTTGATGGAAAATCCCCGAACAAAATGCAGCGCTGCTAAGGGGTGAATTTCCCACCTTCTCCATCCTCGCGCTGCTTTGTCGCGAGGCGTCAGCCAGTTCCTGTGGCGGCTTAACTTTTCGTATTAATTTCGTATCATGTCATAAGAAGGTATCAAGTTATTAAATGTCATTCATGTCAAAACCTTGTTATCTTAATTGCGCAAACATGATATATATATACTGTATATAGAAGTTTAAGATAGTCCTCAAGCGCAACCCGGAGCCTTTGGAGCCTTTTGAACACATTTAAGACATGTGAGCATACATGAACTAAACTAAATTGAGAATGAATATATATATATATACACACACATATCTATATATATATATACACATAATATCTATATATATATATATAGAATGAGCTGCTTTCACATGCCAACCATCGTTGATGTTTACAAAAATGATAATCTTTACCAAATGTTGACGAGTCCGTACGATGCATTCTGCAAAGGGCCTACAATTGTTTTTCAGGCACGGTGGCATGTGAAGAATATTACAGATTTCAGGCTTTGCAGCACTAATTATCTCCTTCCTGCACCCCCAAAGAGCCAGAAATGAATGGATGCACTGAAGAAACCCTACATAATACTGTACATAAGCGGTTGTTTGGGGAAACCATCATTTATTTCTGCTTGCTTGGGGTTCCTGGTTCATAATAATAATTATCGAATTATCGACATCAAACTGCGAAACAACATGTTTCACAGACAATCACGCGCGCTAAGAATTTGGCCAAAGCGGAGCCATAAATGTAGACAAAACTGTACATTTAGAGTCATTTAGGGATGTCGCCCTTCGTCCTTATGCGAAATTCAGAACCCCATCACACCCTCCAACAGCTGCACCTCAAGCAAACCAAGCCTAGGTGTCAGAACTGGTGGGTACATGCCATAAATTTTCCAATGGAAAATCCCATGGGAAAATCATGGATTGCTGGGGGATTTTCCAGCAATGTCTGATGACCAGAGGGTAGAAGTTGCATGTGGGAAGGTCATCCTGACATCATGTGATTTCGGATCCAGGGGTTTGATCAGTAAACTCGCCAGCCTCGGATGATCGTTGTGGATGCACATGATCTGGTTTGTGGATTCACCACCAGATGCCACCAAAAAAAAACATCATAAAATATTACATATAATAATATACTATAAATATAATTACCTCAAATGTTTGAAATCCAATTATATCCACATACAATCTCCTGAAATCCCATTAAATCCCCATGAGATCACATTGAATCCCATGAAAAATCCCATGAAATCACCCTAAAATCCACCATGACCATTAAACACCTCCTAAATCCACCATTTCCGTCCGACCCCAGAACCCCGCCTTGGGACCAGCTGCCGTGGGTTGACGTCTGGTTAAATCAACATAAATCAACCAGGGTTTAAAAAAAAACGGTCACTGGTTGGTGGTATACCTACCCCTCTGAAAAAATGATGGAGTTTGTCAGCTGGGATGATGATTGTTCCCAATATATGGGAAATCATAAAATTCATGTTCCAAACCACCAACCAGATCATCAAGTTTGGACAGCAAGTCCCAGCAACTGTTGCCGTTGTTCTCCTTTCATCTGCGCCAGCTCTTGTCGCCATTGTCCTTGCGCCTCCAAGCCACGACGTGCGAAGATGTCACTGATTCACAAAAAGGGTCAGAAAAGTGATATCATCGGAATATGTCGGCCCCACCCACCCTCTTAGTTTGTTTTGACTAATCATCCACCGCAACATCCATTTATATACTCTAAATATATATATATAACATGATCTAACTCTTTAACAAGAATACATAGGAAGAATTGAATTCAAGTCAGCACGTAAACACTATATATATATATATTTTAAGCATATATACGGGTGCAATTGATTGGAACCACGATTAAGAGTCCGAAAAAACACACACAAAAACCAGCGCCCAATAACCAACCCTTAATCATACCCTCTGGTAAACTCACATAATTATGGATAATCACCATTTTTCCCCAACAGCGTAAGCTTGGGGTCTTCAGCCATAGTAAAGGTTCCGGAGCAGGTCGGAGCAGCCAAATCCGCTGGGAACCGGGTTCCGGGGAAGGGTTTCCTTTTCCAGGAGAATCCCTCGGAGCAGCCAAATCCGCATGGTGCAAGGTTGGGAACCGGGTTCCAGGAAGAGGTCCCAAGCAAGGTTCCCAAAGGATCCCAAGCAAGGTTTCCAAGCAAGGTTCCCAGGAACAGGTTCCCAAATAAGGTTCCCAACAGGTTCCCAGGAACAGGTTCCCAAGCAAGGGTTCCCAGGCAAGGGTTCCCAGCAAGAGGTTCCCAAGGTTCACAGGAAGAGGTTCCCAAGCAAGGGTTCCCAGGAAGAGGTTTCCAGGAACAGGTTTCCAAGCAAGGTTCCCAGGAACAGGCTTTGCAAGCACGGATTTCAGAAACCGTTTTCAAGGTTTCCAGGAACCGTTTCCCAAGCAAGATTTCCAGGAACATGTTTTTCCCAAGCAAAACAAAGTTCTCAGAACATGTTTTCAAGCAAGTGTTTCCAGGAAGAGGTTTGCAGGAAGAGGTGTCCAAGCAAGGTTCCCAGCAAGTTTCCCAAGCAAGATTTCCAGGAACATGTTTTTCCAAGCAAAACAAGGTTCCCAGAACAGGTTTTCAAACACGTGTTTCCAGGTTCCCAGCAAGCTGGTTCCCAAGCAATGTTTTCAGGAAGAGGTTCCCAAGCAAGGTTCCCAGCCACAGGTTCCCAGGAACAGGTGCCCAAACAAGTTTCCCAAGAACAGGTTCACAAGTAAGGTTCCCGGAAAAAGTTCCCAGGCAATGTTTCCAGGAAAAGGTTCCCAAGCAAGGTTCCCAGGAACAGCTTCTCAAGCAAGGTTGCTAGGAAGTGTCTGATTTTGCAGAGAGGTCCCTGAGAAGGAGCGCCAACTACGGTAAACGAATTCGTTAGAATTGTTTCTATCGATGTAAGTGGTGTGCAGGTTCAAGCCTTTGAGCTGAAAAGTATTCAGCAGTTTCCCTGTATTGTCTGTAGTTTGAAGTGACTCTAAGCCGTAAAGTAGTCTACTAATGATAATGGAGTTGTAAACTAGTCATTTCCAACTTTTGCCGCAGTTCGTTTTGTTCCAAAAAATATCAAGGCGTTTCAAAATTGGCATGGTGCTCAAGATTCGTCGTCTTATTTCCTGTGAGGTTTCAGCTTTATCATTATCATTCATAACAGCACCTAAATATTTGGCTTCCGTCGTTGACTTCATCATGGTTCCATTTTGAAATTTGATTCTGCCGACGCTGGTATTGAAACTTATATAATTGATTATATTTGCATTTATCATGATTCAGCCTTAGACGCAGATATTCTGATTCTTGTTCGATCAGATGCAAATGCGGGTTGGCAGTCCTAGCACTTTTGGCAACTTTTGGCTATGATTAGAGTGTCGTCTGCATACAGCAGTTCTTGGAAATTGATATTGTGAAAAGTCTTTTGATGTCGAGGGTCGTTGAACTGTTCCTTCACATCATGAAATATTTATGCATAGTTAATATAAAAAGGTAGGGACTTTATGGACATCCTTGTCTTTTTCCTGTCCTCTGTTTTTGCCATTCGCTTTCGTGAATCCCTTGCATCACTTTGAAGGTTGGATTCTGGTACAGAAATTTCGAAGAACATCTGCAAGCAAGGTTGGAAGCAAGAACAGAATCCCAAGCAAGGTTCCGAAGGACAGGTTCCTAAACAAGGTCCACAAGCAAAGTTACGAAAAGCAGGTTCCTGAGCAAGGTCCCACTGAACAGGTTTGAAGCAAGCAGGCAAAGTTTCCAAGAACAGGTTCCCAAGAGAGAGTTCCCAAGAACAGGTTCCCAAGCAAGGCTCCCAAGAACAGGTTCCCCAGCAAGGTTCCGATAAACAAGTGTCAAGCAACGTGTCCAAGAACAGTTGCCCAGGCAAGGTTCCAAGAACATTGAACAACAGAATACTGCAAAGTTTGAAGAATTGTTCTAATAACGGGAGGGAGAGATTGAAGAACTAGTTTTGCTTCAAGATGCTTCTACACACAGAAGCTTTTGAACACAGATGCCTTTCCACACAGAAGCATTTACTGAGAGACGCTTTGACATATACACGCCTATACACGCCTATACACACAGAAGCTTTTAGACACAGATTGTTTTTCAGGGAATCACAGAAGCTTTGACACAGAGAAGCCTTTACACAGAGAATCTTTTACGCTTTTACACACACAAGCTTTTCCACAGAAGCTTTTACACAGAGAAGCTTTTGAGCACAGGAGCTTTTACACACAGACGCCTCTACACACAGAAGCTTGTACACACGGAGGCTTGTACGCACAGAAGCTTTTACACAGAGAAGCCTCTACACACAGACGTTTTCCCACAGAAAAACCGATTCCACAGAGCAGCTTTTACACAATTCAAAAAAACGCAATTTTATGTAAGTTTTTGACGTTCGGCCGTCATATCGTGCGAAAGGGTTGCATCCAGCGTTGAAAAATCGCAATTTTTGATGTTGGACAATCATTTTGCGTGAAAGGGTTGCGCCTGACCTTGTAAAATCGCAATTTTACACAAGTTGTATTTCGCGCGAAACGGTTGTGCCTGACGTTTCAACATGGATAAAGTCGCAATTTTACACCAAGTCTTGAACGTTCGCATCTGACGTTTAAAAAAATCAGTTTTCCCTCACAGTTATTGCCGTTCTGACTTTCATGCGACGCTTGCATCTGAACTTTCAAAATCACAATTTTACATCAGTTTTTGACGGTTGACCCTCATTTCGTGCAAAGGGGCTGCGCGGGGCCCCGCCAAATGTGCATTTTGCCACATGTTTAGAAATTCACATTCCACCACATGCTTGGGCGTTCGAAGCGCACGATCTCCGCAGACAGTTGCTGCGGGCAAAGAAGTTTCGCATTTCACCACACCACATGCTTGCCCATCCGACACGCAGGATCTCCGCAGAGGGTTGCCCAAGGACAAACAAGACCCGCATTTCGCCACACGCTTGGGTGTCCGACACGCCGCAGAGGGTAACGTTTCGTAAGCCACCGCCTGGCTGTCCCTGCCGCCAGAGAGAAATTGAAGAACTGGAGAAGTCTGATTTTGCAAGAGTTCAGATACAATTTGATCACCTGGAAGTTAGCTGAACTCCTGTGTAGCAACTCCTGTGTAACAATTTCTGTGCAAATGACCTTGCAGGCAGGAGTCTTGTAGGAGTTCAAGTAGAAGTGGATCACCTGCAAGTCAACTCCTGTGCAAATGACATTTTTCAAGTCTTGTAGGAGTTCCCTCGAAGTTGATCACCTGTAGCTGATGTAGGTGATGTTGTCTATGTTGTAGATGATGAGGATGATGTTGTAAGTGTTGTAAGGTTGGATAGGTTTGAAGATGTAGGTGATGTAGAGGATGCAGTGATATAGATGATGATGTAGGTCATGTATGTGCTGTAGATTATGTATGTCATGTAGATGAGGTTGATGGGAAAAGATTGTGTAGGTGATGTAGATGGTGTAGGTGAGATTGATGACGATGATGATGATGATGATGATGCTGATGATGATGATGGTGATGATGATGATGATGGTGGTGGTGGTGATGATGACAATGATGTAGGGAAGATGGTGCAGAAGATGTAGGTGATGTGGGTGATGTAGAGGATGTCGTGATGTAGATGATGAGCATGTAGGTAATGTATGTGTTGTAGACAAAGCACGTCATATAGATGAGGTTGATGGGAAAAGATTGTGTAGGTGATGTAGATGGTGTAGGTGAGATTGATGATGATGATGATGATGATGGTGATGGTGATGGTGATGATGATGATGGTAATGATGATGATGATGGTGGTGGTGATGATGACAATGATGTAGGGAAGATGGTGCAGAAGATGTAGGTGATGTGGGTGATGTAGAGGATGTCGTGATGTAGATGATGAGCATGTAGGTAATGTATGTGTTGTAGATAAAGCACGTCATATAGATAAGGCTGATGGGAAAAGATTGTGTAGGTGATGTAGATGGTGTAGGTGAGATTGATGATGATGATGATGGTGATGGCGATGATGGTGATGATGATGGTGGTGTTGATGATGGTGTAGATGTAGATGTAGATCTAGAGAGGATGGTGTAGAAGATGGTGTAGAAGATGTAGTTGATGTAAAAGACATAAGAGATGTGGATGATGTATGTTAGGTAGATGAAGTGAAGAGTGAGGCGGGCAGCAGTTCTTTGGGAAAAAAACCCTTCGCACAAGCTTCAGGAATATTGGCCACAATAGTGCAAACGCTTTTGGAAAAGCGTTTTTACGCCCGACATCTAGAGTAAGAAGGGCGGGGCAACAAACTTCACTCATTGCGTGTTTGGCAACTGTTTTTGTTCCTGGCTGTTGGGGATATTCTTTGGGCTTATTAATGGGCAAATCAACTATAAATGGGCCATTTTCAGTAGCTATGTTAAATTACCAGAGGGTAATGGGAACACTATGATTGGGATATCATTGGATCCTAGATGCTGCTGGAAAAAATCTGGGTAAATTGTAATGATTCACTAACCTGAAACTCGCGGACTTTTTGGGTAGAATTCATGATTCCAGGTTTGGTGAGGTCACAACGCGAGGTCGCTATCATTTAACCAGATTGGCCAATCATGATCCCATCATTTAACCCTTAGTTTCCCATTATTAAATCAACCATGATGAACCATTAATACTAAGAGTACAATAATATATCTATATTGATTAAATACTAAACGTGTGGTATTGCTGACTCTGATTATCAACCGTTAATAAGTTGTTCCAATCATGTAAGCAATACTAATTAATAACCATTATATATTAACCAATACTATCCTCTATGAGTCTGTCCCCATCTTCACATCGCGTTTGGCGCTCCCGCTCTCCCATGCCTCTGTCAGCGCGGCGCCAATCATGCCGCGTGCCTGGCGAAGAATGTGTTTTTGTGGGGCTGGGTAGGACTGCCAGTGGTTGGATCAAAACCCTGGAATGAACATAGCAGGGACCAAAATGGATGATATCGAACATATATATATATATATGTATATAATTGTTTTTTGACTTCCCCACATGGGGGGTTCTTAGTTGTCAGTCTCATTTGGAAAACCATGTTTGTCGGCTGCAGGATGTCACAGCTCCATGCTGAGGTCAAAATCAACATTTTGAACCCCCAAGTCAAGTAATCGTCACTCTCCCAGGAGGAAAATCAACGATAAATTTGAATTCCATAATTGCCATGCCCTCTCTCCAACTCACGTGACGACCCTGCCATGAGTGGGGGTTCGAAGACAATTTTTTCGTCGAAGAATGGGGAGTTTCTCAGGGGTAGACTGTCCATTGGGGCGATGGTATGTCATCGTCAAGGGGGGGAACATGTCATCCTACCCTACCGTCTTTTTACGTTCGGGAACTTTGGTAATTTGTCCAGGTCAATGATTGGTGGTTGCATCAATGGATAGGGTACCACATGGTCCTGAAAGCCAGAATTGAGAGTAAGGCTGAGCACGCAACAAACATGTCAATCCTGGTTTGTCCAGATAATGTCCCTGATTGAGGCGTAAAAAATATGTCTCTAAATAATATATATATACACATAATTATATATATATCCGATCCCAATCTACTGGTTGGTAAATTGGTATCCCTATTATGGCTTACCAGTAGTACCGCACAAGGCAGTGGCGGAAGTTTCAAAAATAGGAAACCTATAGGAGAGGTTGATTGCTGTGAACCACAGATGGCAGAAGCGAATCCACTGATGGACTGAAAGGTGGTTGGACTTGTGTTGTTTTGGAGCGGCTACAATGGTTGCAGTGGTCACCTAGTCGGTCACCTCACCCACAACTGCTGGATGTAGTGTGGTGAAACGCAGATGTAGCTGTAGCGTAGTGGAGTTGTAGCTGTGGTGTGGTGTAATTAGTGTAGTGTAGTTGCAGCTGATTGCAGTTGTATTTGTGGTGGTGTAGTGAGTGTAGTGTAATGTAATGTAGGGTAGTGTAGTGTAGCGTAAAGTAGCGTAGTTGTAGTTGTAATTAGTATAGTGTAGTGTCGTGTCGTGTCGTGTGGTGCCGTGTCGTGTCGTGTCGTGTAGCGTAGGGCAGTGTAGTGTAGTGTCGTGTGGTGTGGTGTGGTGTAGTGCAGTGTAGTGTAGTCTAGTCTAGTGTAGTGCGATGTAGTGTAGGTGTAGCTGTAGCTGTAGTTGTAGTTAGTGTAGTGTAGTGTCGTGTCGTGTGGTGTGGTGTAGTTTAACGTTAAGCAGTGTTCAGTATTGTTAAGTAGTTGTAGTTGTAGTTGTAGTTGTAGTGTAATCGAGTGTAGTGTAGTGTAGTGGGGTGTAATGTAGTGGAGTGTAGTGTAGCGGATGTGTAGTGTAATTAGTGTAGTGTAGCGTAGTGTAGTTGTAGTTGTAGTTGTAGTTATAGTTATAGTTAGTGTCGTGTAGTCGTGTCGTGTAGTGTGTGTAGTGTAGCGTAATTGAATGTAGTGGAGTGGAGTGGAGTGTAATGTAGTGTAGCGTAGTGTAGCGTAGTGTAATGCAATTAGTGTAGTGTAGTGTAATGTAGTTGTAGTTATTGTAGTTGTAGTTGTTGTTGTACTTGTAGTGTAATGGAATCTAGTGTAGTGGTGGTTGTAGCAAATGTTGCTCACTTTTGTCAAGGTGGTGAATCCCTTGCGCCTGCCACGCGAAAGGACATCTGAACGTCCAAAAGTGGTCCGGGACCCTCAGTTTTTAACACTTTTGACTTGGAAATGGGCTTCGCGCCACAGTCACAACGACGTGCACTTTTTCGACATCACAACTTCCAAAAGTGCTCCGACCCTGGTGTGTTTTGTACATTTTGACTTGGAAATGTGCTTCGCGCCACAGTCACAACGGCGTGCACTTTTTCGACATCACAACTTCCAAAAGTGCTCCGACCCAGGTGTGTTTTGTACATTTTGGCTTGGGAATGTGCTTCGCAGTCACAACGGCATGCACTTTTTCGACATCACAACTTCCAAAAGTGCTCCGACCCTGGTGTGTTTTGTACATTTTGACTTGGACATGTGCTTCGCGCCACAGTCACAACGGCGTGCACTTTTTCGACATCACAACTTCCAAAAGTGCTCCGACCCAGGTGTGTTTTGTACATTTTGGCTTGGGAATGTGCTTCGCAGTCACAACGGCATGCACTTTTTCGACATCACAACTTCCAAAAGTGCTCCGACCCTGGTGTGCTTTGTACATTTTGACTTGGAAATGTGCTTCGCGCCACAACGGCGTGCAATTGTTCATCTCTCATCTGGCCACATGGCTCCGCACTCGCCGCTTTAGCGAGCCTACTTTTCGACCCTCCGGAGCCACAAATCATTGGAAAAACCGTGTTTCGAAACTTTCCCACCTTTTCGCGCACCTGCATCTTCTTTCTTCTCACTCTTTCTCTTCTCTGATCTCTCTTCTGCTCTTCTCCTCTCTGACTCTTCCCACCTCTGCTTTTCCATCTGTCCATATTGTCGGAAGTCTGACTTCTAAATTCTAAACTTCCTTCGATAATTCCCAATAAACGAGAATTGAACTCATACATGAATTCCCGATGATTAGTGGTTGAGAACCGTATTTGGTGCTTAGAGTCCCATGTAATCCTCCAACATGTTGGCCACTATAAGTCTTAACTTAAAAAATACTTATAACCCATTAGTACCCCTGGCAATCCAATCGACCATCATTCATCAACTCTATCCCTATAAGGTGGGTTACCTAACTATAGATACTATAGTTTTCCTCCCCAAATTAACATGAAGACCCCGCCATCACTCCCGCCTTTAAAACATTGCTTTTCACAAAAAAAGGTTAAACTGTTCAGGCTCAAACTGTCAAAAATTATTGGAGGGTACCCTCTGATTATTTGCGGCGAACTGGAAAGTCACCATTTTTAATACGTATATAAAATCATCATGAATCAACATAAATCATCTCATCTACAAATGGACCATTTTCTGGAGGGTAAGATCCCGTTACTGTTCCCATTTCTGCTGGTTAAATCCCAATGAATCTCCAAAAATCCCAGACATGCCCTCTGGTAAATTAACATAATTATGGAAAACCATGATTTTGATGGTTAACGGTTAACTCATCTATAAATGGGCCATCATGCAACTATGTTCGATAAGCCCTATGGAAAATCATCATTGTAAATTTTCTAAATCGTCATATATAAAATAAGAAAAATAACCATGGGATCCATGATAATAATTAATGATGAACCAATGGATGGGGCCATACACACAAGCCTCCCGCAGCCAGGTCGCTTCCCGCCCCAAAGTGCCGTCCTTCCGTTGTTTTTTGCGATGTTTCTGGGGCTGAAACTTGGGGCCGCGTCGTAAAACATTGTGATTTAAGCCTTAAAATGATGAGTTAACCAAGAAAAATTGCGTTTTGAACCGTAAAAATGGTGATTAAACTGAGAGGAACACGGATTTTGACCCGTGAAATTGATGTTCAATGGATTGGTTTTGTTGGGAAAATCTACACCAGAAAGCATGGTCAAATTACCTTCGAAGTGGTTGGTGATGTTTGGCGTTTCCGGTTAAAATTTTCCCTGGGACCAACTCGGGGAGCGTGGAAAACTGCAAAAGATGGCTTGGAAAACTAGGCCATGTGTCGGTAATTTGTGACAAAATGCAGAAAAATAATACCAATGTAACTGGAAAAATATCTAAACGCAAAACGTTGGGTTGCTTAGTTGTTAGCTCCAGGGGCCAGACAAGCGTTTTGAGAAATGATATGTTTGTTCAGTACGCAACAAGCGTTGGGTCAATGTGTAAAATGCTTCTTGCAAAAAGAAACAACCTGCCCAAATTACTCTTTTTTGGCACGCCACCCCTAGCGTGTTTTGTTTTGATATTCTTTCAAGATCTCTTGGCCAAAATGGCATTGGCCTAAAGAAAGTCCGTCGTGATGCGCTGCTTTTTGTTGTCATGGTCTTTTTTCCTGCTTTCCGTTTCCTTTTTCTCCTTCTTCGGGTTTTTCTTGTTTTTCCTTTTTCTCAGGCTTCTGCACCTTCTCCTTGGCCGTAGCTTTTCTCTTTTTGCCGGCAGGGCGAGAGCCTTCATCAGCCATCGTCTCATCGTTTTGCCTGTTCTTCTCAGTGGGGGCTGTCTCCATCTCATCATCCTTCTTCTCCCCAGCCATCGGGGCTGTCTCCATCACATCTTTCTTCTCCTCAGCCGTCGGGTCTGTCTCCATCTCATCTTTCTTCTCCTCAGCCGTCGGGGCTGTCTCCATCTCATCTTGCTTCTCCCCAGCCATCGGGGCTGTCTCCATCACATCTTTCTGCTCCTCAGCTGTCGGGACTGTCTCCATCTCATCTTTCTGCTCCTCCTCAGCAGTCTGGGGCGTCTCCATTGTCTCGTCTTTCTTCTCATCAGCCATCGGGCCTGTCTCCATCTCATCTTTCTTCTCCTCAGCCGTCGGTGCTGTCTCGTTCACCGTCTCATTGCTCTCCTTGTTCTCCTCAGTGGCGGCCGTCTCGATCGTCTCAGTCGCCAGGCGGCGCAGCTCACTGGTCTTATCGTTCTCTGTGTTCTCCTTGGTGGCATCTTTGAAATCATTCTGCTTCCCATCCCCAAGTTCACTTTGCTTTTCGCCCTTGTCATTCTAAGAGGCGAAGAGGTCGATCTCGGGCTGCTTGGTCTGGTTCTCCACCGCGGGCATGTACATATATCTATCTATTTCGCCCTTGGTCCGTTGATCCTCCACTTTGCCGCGGCCGCGCGAGTTGAGAGGCTGGCACCTTTGTGATTTTAACTAAATTTCAAATACCTACAATACACATCAATACACTATATAAGGGTTATGTAAGGGGTTGTGCAGCTCTACCCTTCAACAAATAGATGCTTTGTATATGGGGCAGTGCCTGAAATTTAGGTTAGTATGGTGGCCAACCATAAATGAACATTTTGGATCATTTTGGAAGAAACGTTTTTCCACACAAATACAGACCCTATACCCAACAAGCGTATACGAGCGTCTTATACTTTGCTCCCTAATGGCAAAACGCTTCTTCCAAACCGAAACTACATGACCCTCTGAAACGGGGCCCGCAAGCAACTTAACAACGCAAAAAAAAACATGTTAAATAACTAAATTTGATGAAATTGGTGAATGAAACAAGATACGACTACTAAGCTTACTAAACGTGCGGAAAACATGGCGGAACATGTAAAACTGAGGACGCAACCTGAAGCAACCGAAGAAAATCTGTGGATGAGAGCATGCGTGAACCCAAATAGGATACATGATTTTCATCAGGAAACATTTTAAGTGTTTCCAGCAGGATACAACCCCTTTTAGAAGCGGGTACGTGGCTGTGTTCAAACTTGGGAAAGAAACACCCCGCCCTCATACTATAGTAATATATGTTTAATATGTTGTAATGCCCTCTTCTAACTGGAACTGCCACCCAGTAAGAAAGATTCATTATCCACCAATTTACCCCCAGAAAGATGAAAATAACCCCACAACAATCCCCGAATGTCATAACCAATCAAACTCAACAACCATCACTGCTCGTCCTCACCACGCTCCAGGGCACCCATGCGAGCTTCCTGGCGAAAAAAAATCAGATCTGTTGTGCCACGGGGATTGCATCAGAATTTGGCAGATTTGATTTGATGATTTGAACTATACTATATATATATATATTATGTATATATATATATACATTATGTATATATATATATATATATACATAATTTGTATATGTAATAAATTGTAATAATAATTATGTAGAGATTAGGCTTCTGAAATGAGGGCACCCCAAATCATCCAGTCGTCATCGATGACCATTTTTGTATTGAAACCCATGGTGACGACTGGTCCCGAATTTTGAGGTGGTGCTCCCCAGTGATGTGAACGTTGGTTCATAAACACCATCAAGCGTATCTGGTTGGTGGTTTTAACCATCTTGAAAAATATGAGTTCGTCAGTTGGGATGATTATCCCATATATTATGGAAAAATATAAAATGTTCCAAACCACCAACCAAATATTCTTCCACAAAGCCTAGTTGGACAAGAAACCAATTTAGCAAACTATGGCGGGACATGGCCATGTTTTTTTCTGAGGAAAAAACATGACTTCCTCTGATGGTACCGGTGCTGGTCCAATGAGAGACGCATGGTGATTTCAACCATATGAAAGTCCATGGGGATCAACCCCAGTGCCAGTTGGGATGGTACCGGCTGTATATCCTTCCACTCGTGGGGAAAACAACTTGTTGACTCAATGGAATGGTTTAAGATTTAAGGGAAAATTGTCAGGGAACACCCATATTCAATGGGAAAATCGATGGTTATACACTGTAAAATTCCCGATTGGTTTACAGGAAAGTCCCATATTTCATTGGAAAATCGATGGTTTCCTGTAGATTTTCCCTTAAGCCAATCCATTGATCATCGCTCTGTGACGTGTGCCTATCTTTGGTGATTTTCCGAGATGATTTTGTTGCTTCCCGACTGGTTGGTGCTTGGGCCACCCATCGATGAAACATTCGTGTCAACTTGTTCTCCCAGATGTAGGGATATGTTTTTAGAAAAAAAACATGTTAAATATGTGATGATTGAAAATGATTGAAATGTGAACCAAATGATACATAATATAATATATATTATATATAATAGCGGTACACTCCATTTGCGAGGTGTCATTGAAAATTGGAACCCATGGTTATGAAGTGCCGTCTCCGGCTCCCACTGAATTTCTGGTGCTGCCTCATTGTGGCCGGGGAAAAAAACAGATTGAAAAAAGGATGAAAAAGGTTGATTTGCTCGAAAATGAGTCAGCCAAGCAAACAAACAAACAAACTCAGCCATTCCCTATAAATATAATATATATATATATGGTTCAAACCTTGGTAGCCGCAACCGAATCGAACACTATTGACAGCTCTATTTTGAGGCCACTGTCGACCCATTCCGCACAGTTCGTCCCCAGGAACCCTGAAGCGATCAGATTCAAATCTGTTTTCCTAGCTTCATGGGACCATGTTAATCATGTTATTCGTTAGTTACAGTTATACCCCATGATATGAATCCCCATTAAAAGCATTACATCCAATGAAAAATCCCAATGAAACACCATAAAACCAGATAAAACCCCTAAAAAAACTCCCATTCCCAATCCCCATTAAACACCATTAAAAGGATTAAATCCAATAGAATCCCACGAAATACTTGTTGAATCCCATTAAACACCATGAGTCATTCTAGCCAGAATTCTACCCGGTGGCCCATGCAGGTGGCACCAGCCGTGCGTGGATCTTGTCCATCTGTACCTCCAACTCCTGGGGCGTTTTTTAGAGCCTGGTTGGGTCAAGTCCAAATTCGCAGTATTTCAGTCAGTTGACTCAAAGGAAAAGTCTACCAATTTATGCGAGGTAACCCATAGGTCTGTTGATATTTGGTAGTGGAAACCATCCTTCAACCAATGATAATACTGGCAAATACAGTATCTCCTCTTCATCACTCATATCGATGATATTTCTGCCAAATTCATCTTTAATATCCTTCAAGCCCCGGTCAGTTTGGTCGGTAACACAGGGGGCGTTCACCGGCACCCCATGTCATGAAGCAAAAATCTCATTGTTTGACGATCAAATCCATGTTTGAGATCTCAGGTATCCACTCAAGAGGTGGTTTCTCTCTACTTTCAAGATCTTTTGCTCCATTACGAAATGAAACAAACAAACGTGCGTTAGTACCGTTTCCTTGGTGGTTTGTTTGCTCCCCTGCCAAAAGTTATCCAAAAACCACCAGCAAAATCGAGGTCGATCGAATTCATGGAGATCAACAAACTCATTGATGTTTTACACACCAATTTTACACTCTGGTAATGACTAACATAGCTATTGAAAATGGCCCAGTCGAAATAGTTGATTTACCCATTAAACATGGTGGATCTTTCCATAGTTTTTTGTATGTTTACCAGAGGGTATCCAAATTTGGGAGTTGACCATCACATGTTCTATGTATATAATCCATCCTGTCTCAGGATTCTGGATCAATTATGTATAGCAATTCACTACCCTGAAAAGTTCGGCCAACTTGAGAGAGTAACCCATAGTAACCCTTGACTAACCATGTTTTACGTTGACGTCGCGGTGAGGTTGTTGTAATTCATCCAAAGAACGCCCATTACATTCAATATCAGATCCTTGCTTAACTCCCAATGTTTTGTTGGTTACATCTCCATTGGTCTTGATGGTTACTAACCATTCAATATCATCCCATCCCCCTGTAAGGGACGCCAATTCATGAACAAACCCAATACTAACCGTCACCAACCCGTGGTTTTGTTGGGTATCAAAAAGTACGGGGGAAGGATTACATCTTAAGCCATCTCCCTGGGGAATCTAATTTTTATTCATAGCCATACCATGGCCATCCATGGCCCATATGGAGCTGATCAACACCACAAGTTATACCACAGCCTTCTGTCGGAATGGAGGAAGTGAACCATGGCTCATGGGGATTGAACCAAAATGTTGCTAGCCTCTGGGAATCAAGCCTATGGCAATGGACAGTTCCCCATGTTGCATAGCTGATGTTGATGTTCCCATTCAAGTGACGAATTCGGGGATTCCCAGCCAGCCAACCATGTTTGCTTACCGGGTAAATATAGAAAGTCGCTTGGTTGGATTGGATTGCAATAGATCTATAGTTCATTGCCGCATATCAATATACAGATATATACAGTAGATTTACAGTTAGTATGCTAGACATGTATATCAGTCAAACATGGGATACCTTAGGTAAATAAAGGGAAGGTGTAAATTCTCAAGGTCATTCCCTATGGTGTACCAAAATGGGTGCGTAAATACTATTAAATGCTATTAAATCACCGTAAAATGCTTGATTAAATTCCAGGAATTACTATAGTAGTTACCAACATATAGTCATTGAGTCATCCCAAAAAAGATTCGAAAAGTAAAAAAACAGCAAGTAAGTTTAGTGAAAGATTATGACAGATTCACTTTTTCTATACTTTTATCTTTTTGGGGTGTTTATAGCAACCCCCAAATCGATCCAAAAGTTGAAAACCATTGGAAACCTGGAAATATGAGGCAAATATCATCGAACTACCATGCTGGAACCACTTTTCGACATCTTTTGTTGATTAGGTACAGCTACATTATATATATATATATTTATATCCCATCAAATCCCATGAAATCCCTATCGAATCCCTATCGAATCCCTATCAACTCGCATTAAATCCCATTAAGAGACTTTCAATCCCTATCAAATCCCATTCAAACTGCAATCAAATCCCCATGAAATCCCCATTTGTTGCCAGTTAAACCTCCATTTCCACCACTTTTTTAGGGTAAAAAGACCTGACAAAAACCGCCCAACCGTCCCCGAAATCCGCTCCTCCTTGTCCTCGTCGCAGCGCTTCTGCAGCGCCATCACCAGCTGCTGGACGCGCTCCGCCAATTGGGCCACCTGTCGTTTTGAGGACCAAAAGTGGTGATTTTACCAGGAGAAATAGGACCTACAATAATTCTTCGCTGAAGGGGTGAAAAAAAGTAATGATCCATCATGTTCCATCCAACCACCCATGAGGATCATCGCAAAGCCACAAAGCCATTGCCACCATTGTCAATGCCCTCAAAAAACACCATTCTTGTGGGTGAAGATCGCAATCTTCATGAAATCCCCATATGTGTTGCGGAAATCCCCATGGTTTCTGTTTATGTTAAGCCCCATGTTTCAGTGTTGGGTCAACAAGTCCCCATTGTGTTGGTTAGATCCTCATGATCTTGTTGGAAAAAAACACAATTTTCATCAATTTTCTTGGTCAAATCTCAACCCCATAGGATCCATGCTGCTGGTATATATGCTAACATGACTGGGTATATTGATGGGATCCATGGAGCACCATATATAGAAGCACCATGGATCCTATGGGAACTTGTGTTTGGTTACTTGGGTTTCAAACCGTCCATATTCATCACACAACCGCCCCAGTCCCGTCGAAAACCGTCGATACACCTTGGCTTCGGCGGATCCCGCCAGGGGAATTTGCACCAGGGCCTAGGCAGTGAAAAAATGGGAAATTCATAGGACATTGATGTGAATTTAGGGTGACTTACTGGTGATTTAAGCAACAAAAATATACAAAAATGGGAATAGTACTGGGATTTACCATCTGGTAATTTGTTGCAGCTTGCCACGGAAGCCATGGCCCATTGATAGATGATTTACCTACTGGAAAATGTTCTTTTCCCATTATATTTCAAGTTACCAATAGATTTTTACTACACATTGACACATTGTTACTATGCCAAAGTGATTCATTACCACTTGACAATACTTGATGCCTTGATGCCAACGAAAATCCTTGGTGAACCGTGGGGATATCACAAGCATCAAAGGTCGTATCAGACCTCGTCGGAAACCAAGAGCCTGCACTTTACCAACATTGATGCTTTGGTCATCTAACTGGCAATGGAAAGTCTAACATTTCTACGCATTTCAAAAACAAGATGTAGATGATTTTCCTGGATTTTCCCAGTGCCATGTTGACCATCCCCATCTTTTCTGTCGCACTTAAGATCGGAACGCTGCGCCCAAGGGCACGACTCATTGGTGTGGGAACCCCATGGGCTACCGAGACTGCTGTTGGGAGGTTTCCCCAGCGATGTTCAGACGTGCTCAGTCTGCTCACTGGGCATTCATGGCCTGTGCAACAACTTAGAACATCATCCAAGATGATCAAGATGTAAATGGCTGCAAAGTTATGTTCAAATCTACTTGTAAACAACCATAAGATGGTACACATACTAGCAGAACAACAGTAATATTGGCCCGTTCTGGTTTCTTGCTGTATTTATAACCTGCTGCTGTATATTGGATAGCCTTAGGTTGCAAGCCAATCACAAGCCCTGAGTAAATATATTATGATGATAAGCATGGTTGCAGATTTTGTCAGATTACGTAGAATCAAGTGCAGATCAACTTATAGTATACAAAAAATGAGAGTAAGAGCAAGACAAATAAAACTTAAAAAAATAGGGAGATAGCCAAACAAATATTCGATCAACTCCAGAAAAAAACACAGCCATTGGACCGCAGGTTCCGACTCGTTCCATATTCTATGAGTTGGAGCCTGCGGTGTCCTCCAACCATCTCTGGTTCCATGAGGATAACCCGGGGGTGCTGTTCCATGCGGAAACATCCTGATTGATGGATTTCCATTGCTGATTTCCATTGCTATGTCGAATTGCCAGATGGGAGTCTATGTCTGTAAGGATATTCTCTTAGTATATATACAGCATACATTAATAATAGTTAATAGTTCTATGATACCCTCTGGTAAACTAACATAACTATGGAAAATCACCATTTAATGGGAAAACTCACTATAAATGATCATTTTCAATAGCTATGTTAGTTTACCAGAGGGTATGTTGGGATATAATTCGGATTGGGATTTGATGAATGTTCCTTGAAACGCCTCTGCCTGTATCCCAACGTCTCGTGTGGTCAACCGGCTCATTCTGACGTGCCGCATGTTTCTAAGAAAAACCTACCCATAGCATCCCATAGCCCATCCGCCCCGGAATCCTTGGACAGAAAATTCCCGATTCCTCAATCTTCCCCCATACTGGGAAAAAAAACACAATCAATCACAATCAGTAAGATTCCTTTCTGGGTATAACATGGTATAATTCCCATGCTGTGCAGCTCCAATGTCTGAAGTGATTCGAAAAAAACCCTGCTGTTGACATCTCCATTGGTGCTGGCAAGATCCTCGTAACGCCACTACTGTGGATATAGTAACCATGGTTTTCCCTGAGTCACAATGTTTATGGCTCTCAAATCCCCAGTTCACTCGTAAAATCACAAGATTTACTTCTAAAGACATCTAAAAACATGTAGATGTTCTGAAGTTCTTGATAAACACATGATGTAAGTCATAATATAACGTCTATAGCCTATATGCATATTGACTAAACACATCGATATTTTTCTGGGTCAGCCACCTTTTTAAATCGTGACTGGGCCAGTTTGGGGGCCTTGAAGGCAGCGACGCTGTTGACCTGGCACGTTTTACATGGGGATTGGAAATTGCCATTTATATAATCTTATATAAACATATAATCATATATCATATATACATATTAAACAAATAAATGTATATATATATATATGTATGTATATATGTGTATGTATATATATATAATTATATCCTACTAGTAATTGAAGCACCAATTTTGACAAAAAGGTGTCAAACATGTGAAACGTTGCATGGCTTCGCTCTGAAAGTTTGGTAGCGGGCTGAAAATCGCGCCAAAGGCCCAAACTCTGCTGGTTTAGCTGCCCGGCAACCAGAAAATGAAAGTAAGTTCGCATATACTCATGGTTGTGATGAAAACTTTTAAGGTGCTTGAAACATAGGTGAACCACGAACTAGACGCAGGTTGTTTATATTTTCATATATTTTCCTCATCCAGACTGATCATTCGTTCAAAGAATCCACCGTATTTTGCAGTGAGCCCCAAAGAAACAGAACATGACAGGAGTGTGTTTTACCTTGGTTACTATTTTATTGTTTGATCTTTTTGGGGGTTGCTATGGGTTGGCAGTTTCACAGCACACCTTCCTCTCGCCCCCGCACCTTCCTCTCGAGGTTCCGGTCAAGCCCCGTGCTGTGAGTCAGGATGTTCTTGGAGGTGTACGAACGAAAGAGATCTTGTCCCTGCAACGCCAATGTCAGCTGGATTTTGTTCGTGGATTTGGTTTCGTAAATTTTGATGGCGGAATATGGTGAAAACATGTGAAAACCATGGTTAAAAGCAATTACTTTACTTCGAGTGATCCCCACCATGGCATTTCAAGTCATATATTCTGACATTTATGCCGTTGAGGTCCGGCAGTGCTCACTCAGATCCGGCGCTCGCAGTTGAGGTCCGGCCGTGCCCACTGAGATCCGGAGCTCGCAGTTGAGGTCCGGCAGTACCAACTGAGACCCGGCACTTGTAGTTGAGATCCGAGGCTGCCAGAGGAGAAGGAGGAGAAAGCAACTCTGAGAAAATCTAGAGACCCTTGCCTGGCAGGTGAGGAAAACAAACATCCACATAGCTCTGTGATTTCAGCTTAATTAAGATGTTTTCGAGACCCTGCGGAGAAGTTTCAGGAATGGAGATGGGGTATGCTTGGGGGTCAAGATCTACCCCACAATTTGGCTGGCGGTGGCGAATAATTATTCTGTACCCTCCTGTAAAACATCACCAGAAAGATCTTGAAAACCCATCAGAAATGTAGATCCGATCTTTCCAACCGCGGAAACCGAAACCTATGGGATTTTCCACATCTTTTTCCAAACACGCCCTGGGATGCCGATGGCGGCTGGGAGCTCCGGACCGCCGCATCCAAAGCATCGGTGTCTCCCAAGGGGATGCGACACCAGGGCTCCCGCATCACGGGTTTCCAGCGGGAGATGTAGAGCCTCGCTTGCACGATTTCTCTTGGGTAGCCCCGTGTGAACGATTTGGGCTTAGTACATTGGAATATTCATACAGTTGTATACCGGGTCTCTTGTCTAGATGTGTATATCTTCAGTGTGTACAAACACCATGATATACGTCTGTGGATCAATGTACTAAATCAAATATTATTGTTACTATTAGTTATTATTCATTCTTATTATCATGATTATTATTAATTAGTGTTGCTATTCTAATATATTATGGTAGAAAAATCACCCCAAACGTGAATGGATGGCTCGGGTTGTTCTGGTGGTGATACATTTTGTTTTGCCAAATCATCAGTTCACCACATTAGAGTCAGGCATGCAATATCATAGGATATAGAAACAGCTTTCACTTTTGAAACTTGAGAGAGGTCCAAAAAAAAAGAGCAGGCTGTCTTTACCTCACAAACATTGGTTTTTCTGAACGAAACCTCCCAAACTTCGGTCGTCGACACCAAGACACCAAGAATTCGATGAAGGGAAAAGATGGGAAAAGACATATACCCTCTGGTAAACTAACATAGCTATGGAAAATGGCCCATTTATAGATGGTTTACCTCTTAAAAATTGTGATTTTCTATAGCTATATTAAATTACGATAGGGTAATGTGCAGCGCGCCCTCATGTAAAACTTGTTGCCATCATCTTCCCGTGTCG